ACAAATACTATATGCTTTCACTTATAGAAAAAACAAAACAAAGCAGAGATAGACTCATAAACACAGAGAACAGCCTGGTGGCTGCCATTGGGGAAGGGGGGAGGGGGATGTGCAAAATAGGTGAAGGGGAGAAAAATCAGAACGTTTGCTTCTGATCTGGGTGATGGTTACATGAGTATATACACATGCCAAAATTCATCAAGCTGGACCCTAGATTGTTGCCTTTTATCATATGTCCTTCAATAAAAAAGAAACCACCACCTAAACTGAGCCAAAAAATCACAGCTCTATTTAATGTACTCCAGATTTATTTCCAAAGTGTCAGTGAAGAAACAGAACATATATATCCCCTTCCTGTCTTCTGTTTATAAACTTTGAAAAGTATGACATTTCATCTTTTCTGATTTTATCACAACAATTTTTGTTCTTCCCAGAGACCTACGTCAGGAAAGTTGGAAATGGCATCTTGATTGTAGGTGTGGGGACACACTTCTCGGTGTAAAGGCAGGTGGAGCTGTCTGTGCAGGGGGCCCTGGGTGGGCACTGGCTGGACCCTGCAGGAGGGTGCCCTCAGGGGCCTCTGGCTGGTGCAGTTAAAGAGGACTTCTTGGAAGCATCTGGGAAAACCCACTGGATGTGTGTTTGGCTTCTTACAGATGCTCTTAGGAGTGCTATGCCGTCAGGTGGAGCTGCAGGCCTCAGCGTGGATGCTCAGAAACGGTCTGTGGTCAGGTTTCCCTCCTTGCCCCCTCGTGCGCACCCACAGATCTGGTGTGGAGCTCATGAATGGCTAAGGAGGCCCCTGGGAACATTTGCTCTTTATATCACTACAGCCTGCCTTCCTCCCCATGGGTTACCACAGTTCGTGCATTCTTATGTTGATGGAAATTTAGGTTGTTTCCATATTTTGGCCATTATAATAAAGCCTCTATGATCATGTGTGTGCAGGTCTTTGTATGGAGGTATGCTTTCATTCCTCTTGGGTACAACTTAGGAGTGGTGTGTCTGGATCATACAGCAGGTAGGTATATGGTAAACCTTCAAAGGAATTCTCAGACAGTTTTCCGAAGTGGCTGTGTAGCTACACCAGGAACAGCAGGATATGAGAGTCCCAGTTCCTCCACATCTTCCCAAACATGGTGCACACGGGATGGCCAGTCTTCTTAATTTTAATCATCCAGATATATACGTATCTCATGGTAGTTTTAATTTGCATTTCTCTAATGCCTAATGATGTTGGCTTGAATCCTTAAATCTATTGAAACTCGTTTTATGGCCCAGAACGTAGTCTGTCTTGGTAAATGTGCCACGTCCACTTGAAAGGAGTGTGTTGTACTTTGATTGGCTGAGCGTGCCCCAAATGTGTGCCAGGCTGGCTTCTGACCAATATAAGCTGTGCTGAAGTACTACAACAGGATGCTCCCCGTGAAGTGCTGTGCCCTCCGTGGGTTCTGTGAGGGGTGCGTCTGTAGACGGAGTGACCCGCGCTTAGCCAGCTGGTTCTGGTCCCCCCTCCACATCTGCAGCAGAAACAGGGTGGCTTGCTAGGGAACGTCCTCTGTCAGGTAGTCCTGTAGGAGTAGCTCCGGCCTCGGTAGCTGGCTGCGGAGTGGCTCCCGCGCTGCTGGACCTGCCTGAGCCCCTCTGCCGGAGAGGGCCCCGCCTGCTCTGACTCTCCGTGTGCTCCCCTGGCTTGGGTTTTCTGGCTCCGCTGGATTGTGCAGGAAGAGGCAGGTTCTTATTTTTCACTGTCTCGTTTTTTCCGGAAAGCCTCTGAATGGAGAACTTGGGGCTTAGAGAATTAGAACTCCCCCAAATCATCAGTTACATGGAGGTTTATTTATTTTCCAAATTATAAAGAAAATATAGATAAGGTGGACTTTATAAAATTTATACTTTGATTCATCCTTGCTCATTTAACATGCTAACATGTGAAAGCACTTACTCCTCGTTAATGATTTGTTGAAAAAGCACTGGGTTAATGTTTCAGAATGAACACCTGGTATTTGGTGTTCAGTTAGTAGCTTCCTTGTTGAAATTCTTAGGAATCCTAAGGATAGACTGGGGGGTTTGGACTGAGTCAGATACCCTTCGGGTGTCCTGTCTAGACACCATGTAGTTCAGGAATGAAGGCTTTGTGAGGAGGAGGCATTTTATGAAAAATTCTGATTAAGCTGTTTAAAGAAATGAGCTGACGAGTGGACTTCTGAGCCTAGTGTGTCCGTCTCCATACTGCGCAGGGTCCTCAGGAGGAGGGAAGGGGGTGGCCACTGTCTTCTTCCTGCTGTGGAGGGAGAAAAGGGAGACGTCCCTGGCTCGAGAATCCTGGACAGTCAGGGTTAGGCGGCTCAGGATTGTCCTGTGCCACCCAGGTGTGGCGGCGGCAGAGCCTGGCAGCCCGCCCAGCACAGAGGCGGCTCCGAGGCACATCTGTGGATGATGAGGGTTCGTGGGTTTGGCCTCAGCCAGGGCTTGTGCCCACTGTAGCCTCAGCCCAGATTCCACACCTTTGAGACACGCAGTCCATACCCGTCCCCAAGTGGGCACATGCTCCAGCCCTCCTGCCCCTTGGGGGCTGCCCGTAGGGCCCTTCCCTCCTCTTGTCACAGGTTGGCTCTCTCCCTGGTCGCACCTCATCCCCCCCCAACCCGCACGCCTGGCTTTCTCGCTCCTTTCTCTCTCTGTCTTTTTCTCTCTCACACTCCCACCTCCCTCCCTCTTTCAAGTCTTCATAATGGGGAAGTTCAAACCCGCCCAGCGTAGAGAACGGTGTAGTGCCCCACTCCGGCCTTTCTCTCCGTCACAGCCTCGGGCCCATATATGTGACCATACATGTGCCTCGGCCCCCGACTTTTTAGATATCTAAATACTTCAGTAAGTTCGTCTAAAAAGCAGTGTACTTTGAAAAATCATTAAAATACCATTATCACATCTGCGGAAGTTAATGTTTCCTTGAATAATATCGGATATTCAACAAGTATTCAGTATCCCAGATCAAGATTTATATTTCTAATTAGCTTATAAATAATGAATCCTTAAAGCAATCTATTCGAATCAGGATCCAAAGAAGCCCTTCCGTGGCGGCGGGCTGACTGGTCCCCCGCGTCTTGTAAGGGAGCTTCCTCTCCGGCTCTTCTCCCTCTGAAGTCGGCAGGTTACTTACTGTCTCTGTCAAGGCCCTGTGCACGGGGTTCTGCTGATTTGCATCCTGCCCTATTGTTGAAACGTGTTGCTTGGATCATTTTTTATGAAGTCATTTGATTTTTACATCGCTATTCAAAGATTTTTGTTCGGTTGGTTTTCCTTGAAAGTCCAAGAAATTCACCAGAGTAAGTCTTGGAGTAGGTCTTTTAGGGCTGGGAGTTGATATTATTAGGTACCCCATGTATTCTTTCAATATGTAGTTAAGATCCTTTGGGGAAATTCCCTTATTTTGCTTCAGTATCCGCTCTGCGCCTTCGGCTCCTCTTCTCAGGGCCGCTGCCGCCACGCGGCGGACCTTCTCTCTGCCTTACTTTCAGCGTTTGTCGCTTGTCTTGGATCTTTTTTATCTCTATTCATTTAAGACCTTTGTTGAAGTGTGATTCATATGCCACAGAATTCACCCCTTGTAAGTGTACAGTTGAGTGGATTTTAGTAAATGTCATGCATCATCGGTCACCGCAGCCCAGGCTTTACATTTCCTGACCCCAAAGATCCCCTGTGCTGTTTGCGTTCAGTCCCCGCTTCTACCGCACAGTGTCGGACAACCGCCGGTGTGCTTTTCATCACTACAGACTTGTCTATCTGAAAACTTGCAATAAATGAGAGGCTATAACTTGTAGCCTTAAGTGTCCGCCTTTTTTTATCTAGCGGAGTGTTCGTGAGGTTCATTTGTGTTGCGGTATCAGCATTTCCTTCTGTGCTGTGCGGATGGACCCTCTCAGCTGGACGCTTGGGTCGCTGCTACTCTCACAGTTACCTCACAGTTACGAAGACTGCTTGTTACACACATTTGTGTGCACATCTTCGTTAGGACCGACAGTTTTCTTTCTTTGGGTAGAAACCTAAGAGTGGGGTTGTTGTGTTGCACGATAAGCTCATATTCAACTTCTCAAGAAATGGCCAAATAGTTTTCTGAATTGGCTGGACTGTTTTATATTCCCAGCAGTGAATGAGGCACCAGTTCCCCCACATTCTCACCAACGCTTGGCGCTGCTGGCGGTTTGAGCGTAGCTGCGTGGCACAGTATCTCAGTGTGGTTTGATTTGCATTTCCCTAAGGACTCACGATCTTGAGCATCTTTTCATTGCTTATCAGCCGTTTACATATCTTGTTTGATGAAATGTCTGTTTAAATCTTGTGCCCACTGAAAAGAAATGTTACTGGTCTTGTTGAATTGTAAGATTTTTTTATACATCTGAATATAAGCCCTTTATTGGATATGTGATTTGCAAATATTTAATCCCAATCTGTGTCTTGCCTTTTAGTTTTACTAATGGTGTTTTTGAAGTGCAGAAGTTTTACATTTTGATGAAATCCACTTTATACTTGGAAATAATATATGTATCTTTTTTTCTGAACAGTATCATTGTCTAACATCCATGTACAAATTACTCTTCCCACTTTTTGTGACGCTTGATATCCGGAGTCTGTTTGCCTGGGTTATCCTTACTAAGGACTCTGCACAGCGGGGAAAATCTGTCAGAGTGGGTGGGGGTCTGTGCTGTGTGGACGGCCTGGAGACGGGGAACCGCAGCACTTCCCGTCTTCCCTCTCTGGGAGCGGAATCTCCTTCCCTGACTCATGTGCTGAGCGCCATTCACAGCTCCTCCGCCACCTGTGCTCTGGCAGGAGCTGCTGGTGGCCTTGGGAGGAACCGACAGGCTTTTATTTCCAGGGCCGCACTTGGAAGTGGGCTGCTTCTCTGTGTGTGTAGAAAAGGCCGAGTGCAGGAGGTGCCCTCCGGCTCTGTAAAGGCGGGGTGACGTGGGTAACATGCTCCCCCTTGGTATTTGCAGGTGGAGGACTTGACGAGGTGCCTGGACCCAGGTGGGCTCGGTGTGATCAGCTTTGAAGACTTCTGCCGAGGGATCGCTGCGATCAGAAACGGAGGTCAGTCGTCCGCATTGTGTGCTCTGTGGCCTTGCACCTTCCCCTGCTGCACCCCTGCCTCGCTGCACCCTCAGCCGCCATCCCCAGTGGACCCCTCAGGTTCCTTCCCTTCTCTGTGAAGCCCGTGAAACACTCCAAGCTGTCTTCTTTCTTGTTCTTTGCCCCTCATACACCCCATCCCAGACTTGACGGATCGAGCCGCGCGTGCACACTGCTTGAAGGCTACCGGCCCTTTCCCCTGACATACAGTGATGTCCGCAGACCTCCGCAGTGACCCCGTGTGTGTTTGCACTCAGCATCCCACGTGCTGCATTTACCGCAGTCGTGTCGTCACCCCGCCACCCGTTCTCTGTCTGCCCGGTGGCCTATCTTTGTTATTGATGGGATGCATTCGACACAGTGTATCTCCACACACTTCACCTTCCACACCTCAGAGTGTGTATCAGTCATTGCCTCAAATCTGTTTCAGTGTTTTTGAGTAAAAATTTGCCTACATTGAAATGCACAAATCCTGAGTGTGCCGTTCTGTGGGTTTCGTCAAATTCCTATGCCTGTCATGCAGACCCCTGCCACGTGCTTGGCCTCCGTTGCGGACGGTTCGTCACGGCCTTCCGGTGACCCTCCCCCGCCAGCACCTTCTCTGCTGGTTGTCGTCACTGCGATTAGTCTTGCCTCCCGTGGGCTTCACGTGAGCAAGATCGTATGCGCCCTTGGCCTGCTTCTCCCCGTGGTGGTGCTTGAGGCCCACCATGCTGTGCGTGCTCCGGGGTCTGTTCTGCTGTGGACCGCATCCTGCTTGGGCGTGCCCTGGTAGTGGACGCCTGTTGGGGCGGGTGTATTCCCAGCCTGGGACTGTTACAAATAAGGTCTCTAGTGACGCAGGAGTGCAGATCTTTCTGTGGACATGGGCTGTCATTTCTTTGGGGCCTGTACCCAGGAGCAGATGGCTGGCCACGTGGGTGTGAGCTCACAGAACTGCTACCTGGTCTTCACTGGGGCCCCGCCATTTACCTCACCGGTTGTTTGCGTACTTTCCTTTCCAGGTCAGGTCTTGATCTGCACAGACCTTTCCTTCTCAATCCTTGGCTTGGCCGGAGGTGTGGTGTGATGGTGGGGGTGTCCTCAGTTGCAGGCCCTTTCCTACCTCCCTGCACCTTTTTGGAGAAAGAGGAGGACAGGCAGACCTTGGCAGGATGCTTGGCCATCAGGTGGCTGGGTTGGGGGATGTCCTGGTCCCAAGGTCTTATTAGTAATCATTGGTAGAGTCACCTGTCTTGACTGTCCCCTCCCCCAAATCATTGCCCAGCAGTGTCACATGGGGGCTCGGTTTCCTAAAACCCTGAGCCCCAGATGGCTCTGGGGAGCACTGTGTGTACTGTGACCCACACATGTGCTGTGAGCTGCACAGAGCAGATGCTGGGCAAGGCACGGGGCGGGCGCTGCCGTCAGTGTGGCCAGTGGGCGCCGAGTGGAAGAGCCACGGGTCAGCTCTACTCAGGCAGCCGTGTGTGAGGAAGCCCGGCTGGAGCAGGGCCCTGTCCAGGGGAGGCGGTGGTCCTGGGGCCTGCGTGAGGAGATGCAGACCCTGAGGGCCATGGCAAGGGTGCACAGCTTTCTGGGGGGGGGGTCCTGGCAGGGTTTGGGCAAGGTGAGCTTGCCACCTGGGGGCCGGGATGCTGAAGGGAACCCTCAGTGGCTCCGAGCTAAGGCTGGGTGTCAGCATTCTGAGGCTGACACGTCTCTGTCCAGCACCTTTGTCCAACTCCATGTAACCAGTAAGTTGTAAGCCTCACGTGGCCTTTGGAGGTTAGGTATACAGTGAAAACACAAAGTTACTTAAACCTCTACCCTTTGCTTGGATTTTTGTGGTAGTTTCATGCAAATTTGTCCTCTCCTCCACCTGCAGTGCCTGCTGGCGGCTTCCCAGTGGAATGGCCTGCCTGCCCTCAGTTCAGCACCCTGGGCTGCTGCCGCTGTGCCCAGGGCCGCTGGGGCTGCAGCTCCTGTTAGTTGGCCTTTATGGAACTCTAGATATAGGCTTTTTTTCCTCATAGAGCAATTATTTAAAATTTATCTTAATTTTTAAACATATTTTAAAGTCCTGTCATAATTTCAAGCCTAACTGTATGCGTGAGTCAGAGAGTGGGGTCTCTGTGGTGTTGATTCTTTGATGTTTGTTGAATTCTTTTCGTAGTAATTTCTGCAGCCGGCTTTTAGGCATGTGACAGAGTGCCTCCTCTCTGAGTGGGGCCCGTGGGCTTACGTGTGCACGACTCGAGATGCACCGTGTATGCTGCTCGAGCTCAGTCACGGGTTGGGGCTAAGTTGCCCGTGACACAGGCGGCACCACCAGTTTTATGTGACTTTGTTTTCCCCTTTGTGCCGACGTACCGAGCTGGCTGGGGGTAGGCGTCCAGGGTGGTGTCCCCAAGCTGGCAGGTCACTGCAGAGGAGGTGGGGAGGGGACAGGTGCAGAGGTAGGCTGAGTTGACAGAACGTGGCTGCCATTGCCAGGAAAGGCAGCAAGGAGAACGAGAGGGGTGTGCTCGGAGAGCTCCGCGTGCCAGTAAATGAACACCGATTGACATAAGTCAATGATTTTCTTAAAAATGAGTGTTTATGTAACCAAAGACTGGGACTTACCTTTTTGGAAGATTTGTGGGAGAGGTGGGGAGGAAGTCCAGAAAATTCCAGAATTTAGGAACTCATGGGAACTACACAAGATGACCGGCTGAGGGTTGAGGACAGCTGTGTAGGGCCCCAACCTGTCCACACGGCTCACAGCCCAGCCACGGGGCGAAAGGTGTGTGCAGGCTACTTAGCACTAGCAGAGCTGTGACTCTCCCGGCAGCTGAAGAATGCAGAGTGGCTACTGGCCACGCCTGCCCATCAGGAGACTCCCTGTGTGACCTTACTGACAGAGGGTGGCAGCGTCCGTGTGCTCCCAGGGCTGAAACCAGAGGGCCTGGGAGGAGCTGCGGACTGTGGACGCACCGTCCCCACGCCTCCTAGCAAGGTTCGCGTCTGGACTTCCTCTGCTTCAGGCAGCTGAGCCCAGACTCCTCTGAAAGGTCAAGGCTGGGAGCAGAAGTGGCGGCCGGGACTGTGGGGTGGGCAGGAAGGAGCCCAGGGCAGTGGCTAGTGAGAGACAGTGCCAGGGTCATTCGTGTGGCTCTGAGGCCTCTCTGAGCCAGAGTTCACAATTCTGTCCCCAGGCTGGCGGCTGATCTGTTCTGACAGGCTGCAGTCACTGCAAAATGGAGCAAGCGCAGCTGTGGGAGGGGGTCAGACCTGGGGGTTAGTACCTGCTCCTGGAGACTCGTGACCCAGGCAGGCACAGCCCTGTGTGCGGGCACAAAGCTCTCCGGCCCTCAGGCTGCTGGGGCAGGGACAGCCTTCTCTGCAGAAGCTGATCTCCCAGCAGTCAGGGAGCAGGGCCCGCAGCTGCGGACCGTGCGGCTGGCTCGTGGGTGGCATGTGTCTTGAAGTTCAGTGACGTAAGGAGCGCATGGATGATGGACTGGTGAGTGGCCTGCCTCCCTGGGTCCTGGTCTTTCCTCACAGCTGACCGTCCTCCCTGATGCACGGAGATGGGGCCCCACCTGCACACAATATCCCTCTCCCTCTCCTGGCCTTTGTCTGGCCGTGCCCGCTGCCGGGGTGCTGGGGTGGGCGGAGAAGCCCTAGGAGGGCCCGGGGAGGGGTCCCGGGATCTCCACCCGAGCGGAGCTGGCCGAGCTCTGCTGTCTGTCCAGAGCGCACCCCGGCTTGCTGTCTCGTGCTGTCTCCTCACCCGGCTCGCCCGGCCTCCTGTGCCTGGTGCCTCCCACCCTGCTCGCCGCACGGGCAGCCGCGGTTCCTTCCGCACAGAGGGACCGCCCTCCTGCTCCGAGCCTCTAAGGCTCCCTGCCTCCAGCCAGCCCCACACACCCCAGACCCCCACAGGGTCTGTTTGAGACTCCTTATTTGTGCACTTTGATTTAATTTTAAACAACCCTCCCAGCCAGACTGGGGTCAGAGGTGGAGGTGAGGGTGGCAGGGAGCGCCTGGGCTGTGGGTACGGCAGGGGGACTTGGCTCTCTCTGCTGGGAGCTTCCGGGTTTGTTCCCCGGCCCAGGCTCATGGAGGGTCCCCAGGCGCCTGCATCTGGCGTGGACTTGGGGGAGGCAGTGCCGGGAGGGCCCACTCTGTGTCTCGGTGTGGCTCAGGGCTGTGTAGGCTGGGCCTTGCCTTTTTTTTTGTAATTTGACGTCATCATTTAACTTTTGTTAGGCAAGGGGAGGGACAATAAAATTAGAATAAAAGCACATCAAAGAGTATTTTGGTAGTGTTCTTTCATGACATGGAGAATAGAAGCATGGCCACCTGCACTGCATGTCTGCCGAAGCTCGCCTGAGGTCCCCCGCGGTTGTCAGGTTTCCTCCCTGCTCTGGGAGCAGCTTAGCGAGGGATGCGAGAGGTGACCCAGGCTGTCGGGAGGTGCAGGGAGACTTACCCGGTGGCCGCAGGCCTCCTTTCAGGAGTACCGTGAGATAGAGAGGGAACTGTTACAAACAGGCCATTGCTCTGGCTTGCCCTTTCCCCCCAGGCTCTGGAAGAATGAGATAAATGCACACTGAAATTTCCACGTAATTGAAAATTGTTTTAGTTCTTACAGATAAAACTGCTCTAAGAATCATACTTGATTCCCTTGGACAGTTTGGAAACGCCAGCTGTGTGTGCCGTGCGGCAGGACCAAATCGCCAGCCCACTGGCATCTGAGCGCATGCCTGCCGCCTGGATGATTGGATGTGTTTTGAGAGTTTTGAATTCTGTGTTTAAGTGTTTGGAAGTGCATGCTAATTACATTTGAGAGGGGAAAAACAGGCCCGTCTTTTCTCTCTACAAAAGGTCTAGTCTTTTTACAGAACGTGTGTGCACCTCAAAATGTACTATGCTGTTCAGTCCTCATCCACTCCCTTGTCCTGGAAACCAAAAACTGTCCGCGGCAACCCTCTCACCCATCCAAAACAGCACATACAGTCCAGCTGTAGCTCACCTGCACCAGAGACCCGGGCGTGCAGTGCCAGGCTGGCCACCACTCCCTGGGGCTGCTTCACTCTTGCCACCCCCCCATGCCACTCATTGGTCAGCCACACTCCTGGGGAGAACACGGAACAGTGGCAGAAGTACCTGTAATTAGTTTTTTTATTAAGGTATTATTGATATACACTCTTATGAAGGTTTCACATGAAAAACAATGTGGTCACTACATCCACCCATATTATTGAGTCCCCCCCCACCCCATTGCAGTCACTGTCCATCAGTGTAGTAAGATGCCGCAGTCACTACTTGTCTTCTCTGTGCTCCACTGTCTTCCCTGTGACACTCCACACCATGTAGTACCTGTAATTCTTACAACAAAAGCCAAAGGGCTTTTTGAAATAGGGGCCTTAATCACTCCTGCAGAGCAGCGTTGGGCTGGCGGAGGTGTCCTGTAGTTGCCGAATGCACGAGTGTTCAAATTGCACAGTTGTGGGGGGAATGCATCACCATTCTGGCTGCTATCAGAGCATAGGGCGGTAGCCGCGTGTGTGGGCGCTCTGGCAGGGGTCCCTCAGCACCCACTCACCCTCCCCAGTGCCCTGGGCTGTCCTGCCAGCTGCAGACCGCTGGTCCTCGAGCTCCGGCAGGGATGGCTATGGAGGGCAGCGTTCTCACCATGTGGTGCTGAACAATGGTGCCCTCTGGCCGAGGCTGCATGCAGACTGCTTCAGACTGCTTCCCGGTGGTGTCCAGGGATTGTGGTCCCATTTGGCCCTGAAAAGATGCTACTCCACATGTTAGGTTATGTACAATACTGAATAAGTAACTGACACATATAAAGTGAGAATCACTGTGATTTGTTTTCTGCTCACAGCACTGACACCAAATGTGTGGGTTTTCCTCACCAAGCAGTGAGGCTGTCCAGTTCTCTGCACACACCTGGGTCCTCAGGTTCATTCTGTTCTGACACCAAGTGCATGGAGTCAGTGCAGACCCCACTCCAGGCGCCCAGGTTCCCACACTTCTGTCTGACTTGGCTGCAAATTGAGAGTTCCCATGATGCCTCAGCCCAGGGCGACTCCACTGTTGCCACCTTACTATGAAGGCCACAAATGAACAGCCAGTTGAAGAGGTGTAGGGCAAGGCCCTGAGGGGTCCGGAACATGGGGGCTTCTCCCTGAGGAGTTTGGGTTGTGCCGCCCTCCAGGCATGTTGTGTGCACCAGCCCAGAAGCCCCCAGCCTCATTCGGGGTGTCGTTGACACAGGCAGGGCTGGTTAAGTCATTGGTCCTTGGGATCAGCCCCTCTGGTCCCCTGCCCAACCCCGGAGGTCTGGGTGGGGCTGGAAGGCCCAGCCCCTAATCACGTGGCCAGTTCCCCCACCCCCCTGAGTCACCCCCCTAGTGGAAACCCAGGCAGGGCGGAAAGTGGCTGTTGTGAGAAGTAGCAGCATCTCCCCTCGCTCACGTAGGGAATCCCCGGGGCTTTAGGAGCTCTGTGCCAGGAACCAGGACGGAGACCAAATAAATATGTATTGTATGACGGTGTCATGGTGGTGAGAACCGTCTGGGAACCAGCACCTCCCCTCACCTGCCCTTTGGAGTGCGTTGTGCCAGAATGTTTCCCAGAGACTATGGAAGCCAGGGCCTCTCCTGGGGAAGCAGGGCTGTGGGCGCGTTTGAGGAGTGATGTCTCTTGTTGACGTCAGAATTACAGTCTGTCCATGAAAAGATAGCTGTTCCTTTATAGTTTTTCTTATTATAAAATAAAACACTTATCACAGAAGATAAAATTAAGCAATAAAGAAGAAATAGAAACTGCCTGTGAGTCCAGCTCCAAGGACGAGGTGATATTTTGGTACCTACCTAACATGTACAAGGGTTTTAAAAATTAAGCCTGGCACCAAATGCTTTGCGAGGCCATGAGCAGTGTCAGAGTTCTCCACCTTGCTCTCTCACGGTGCTGTCCGGCTGTTCCAAGAGAGTAAGCGCTGTCGTCGTTTGTCCTCCACACCCGTCTTCAGAACTCTGGCTCGAAGTGTGGTTTTCACGGGGGACCCGCTCTGGTCCTCACTGTGGCCTCCTTTCCCCTGGGCTTCCTGCGGCGAGCCCTGGCCTGCTGTCACTCCCTGCCCGCCGTCCTCCCCCTTGGCCTCCGTGGGGACAGTCTGGTTTGCCTGCTGAGCATGGGGTCTTCTCTCCCGCAGAATCCGACTCCGACGGCCAGCTGTGCGGCCTCGCACCTGCCCAGGATGAGGAGCCGGCCTGCCCTGACGAGTTTGACGACTTTGTTACCTTTGAGGCAAGTGGTTTTTACTGGAGAGCTGGGGGGCAGGCGGGCTGGGCGCTAAGCCTCTTCCTTACACTGTGAGGTCCTGTTTGCCTCCGCCCCCAGGCTGCTCCGTAGGAAGGGGCGTGCAGGGTAGGGCTCACCCTTCAGCCCTGAGCATGCTGTTGGGGTGCTGGGCTCCACGGGCCTCATGGCCAGAGCAGGTGGTGAGTGTGTGCCTGTCCATGTGCTGGGATCCCAGGGCTGTCAGCAGGAGATTTCCTTGGGGTCTCTTGTGAGCAGGGGTTGGGTCAGGCAGTTAGAGCTCTCCGGATACATTGCCGTCACCTCTGCCAGGCTGCCAAGCAAGCTCAGACCAGGGGACACATCGTGAGGCTTTCGTTTCTACCAAATTTCAAACCACTTTCTGGGCCAGGGGGCGTTTGGCCAGTGCCTTGCTGGTGCGGCCCATGCAGGCTGTGCCTTGACATTGCATCTTTTGCTGCCCTGTGCTTCCGTTATGGTGTCACATTTTATGTGTAGCTGGGTGTAGCGAGTTGAGTGGTAGCTGCCAAAAGATGTCCCACCTGAAACCTGTGAATGGGACCTGATTTGGAGGAAGGGTCTCTGTAGATGTGATTAAGATGAGGTCACACTGGGCAGTGGGCCCCGAATCCAACAACAGGGCCCTGAGGAGGGAGGTGACCCCCAGGGAGGAGCCATGAGGGGACGAGGCAGAGGCTGGAGCCAGGCGGCCACAGCCAATCCCGGGACCACCCGGAGCTGGACGGGTACAGGAACCCGCCGCTGGAGCCCCGAGGAGCTCGCCCTGCCCCGGCCGACCTCCTCTGGCTCCGGACTCTGCGAGGAGACCCCTGCTGTGTTAAGCTCCCAGCTGTGGTGGTGGCCCCAGGACTCTAGCACAGTGACCCTGTTAGTTGGGAGAGTAAAGGCGTCTTCTTGTTTTGTACTTTGACATGGGGACTGCCTTCTGGAGCCGGGTGGGCAGGCAGCCCACCCGGGAGGCCTCCCAGTGCACATGCATCATCACCTTCAGGAGGCATGAAGTGTGCAGCAGCGATGCTCTCTGGGTTTTGAGATCCTACTTTTTTAGAATGGAGGAAACATAAGTTTTTTTGTTACTTAAAAATTAATACATGTTATATTTCAGCAGTTTGAGGTTTACAGAAAATGGAATAGATAGTACAGAAAGCCCCCAGTGCCCCCACCGTGAACATCTTGTGCAGTGAGGTGGCTCTGTAATTGATGAGCCAGCATCGGCGCGTTGTTACTATGTCCACAGCTTACACCAGGGTTCACCGTCCTTCGATCCGTTCTCTGGCTTTGGACAAATGTGCCTCATTATGTGTCCACCATTGCGTCATACAGAGTAAATTTGCTGCTCTAAAAACCCTCTGGGCTCTCCTCATTCATTCCCCCCACTGCTGACACCCCCTAATCTTTAATTGTTTCCATAGCTTTGCCTTTTCCAGAACATCAGAGTTGGAATCATCCATTTTGTGGCCTTTGCTAACTGGTTTCTTCTGCTTAGTAATGTGCATTTAAGGTTCCTCCATGTCTCTTTGTACTTCCTAAGGTTTTTTAGTCGTAATTTTTTGGCAAACTAGGTACTGTGAAACTTGTAGAAAGATTGCTCTTTTTAACAAAAAGCTAGCACTTCATGTAATCTTAAAAGTCCAATAAAAATACAAGTAGAGAATACGTGTATTACTCCAGATGTCACATTTGGAGATCGTTTGCCGGAGGTCTTCAGAGATAAACAGACCTTCTTTGATTTAATGGCTGGGCACTCGAGCGTCAGCCCGGGCCCCTGTGGGTCGCCTCCCGGTGGGCCGCAGCACCAGGCGGCTCCTCTTGCTGCTGGGGCTCGGGCCTCCGGCGGCTCCTGTGATCCCCTGCGCACACTGTTGGCACCTAGCTTCTGATAAGTCCCAGGAGACAGTTTTTAACTGGGGGCATTCTGAGCTTCAGGGCAGAAGGGGCAGGGGGACACAGAGCCAGGTGTGGGATGGAGGGCGAGCTGACTTCTAGGGCTTCTGGGACGGGGACAGGCCAGCTCCCAGGAGCGGGCGGCCGGGCGGAAGCCATAAGGGCCACCCGAGCTGTGCCTGCTCCGCCTCTCCTCCCGCCGCCCACGCCCAGAGGGAAGAGCTGTCTCACTGAAAGGGTGAGAGTGTGTCTTTTGTGCAAACTGTTACCAGAAAGTTGAGAACAAAAGCCGCCCTGTTCTGAGGTCTCCCAGCAGGGACACTTCGTGAACTTTGCCCCCGCCCTGGCCAGCATGCAGGAGGTTTAAAGGAGCGTCTCTGGGAGCAGGTTACACTGTGAGGCAGTGATGTGCCTGCAGGTGGACCAGGTTTTGCAGAAACCCCAGCATGACTGGCAAGTAGGAGGCCCCATGGCGTCAGCTGAGAGAAACCAGGGCCTGGTCCGGACAGACTCACGTGCTTGCAGCTGGGTGGGGGGCCATCTCCAGGAGCGTGTTCATGGATCCTGTGTGCAGAGCCAAGCCTGGCCTGTGAGGCTGCCCAGACTGGCGTCTGAAGGTAAGAGAGGCCGGAGCAGCAGCAGACACTGGCTGGTGCTGGCCGTGGCTCAGCTTCCCTCGGAGGGACCGTGGGCTGGTCAGTGGGGACCCCGGGCAGGGTTGGCTGCACCTGGGCTCCTCACTAAGGCTCTGAACATGGGCTCTCCTGTCTTTCCATTGGCAGATGTTAAGTTAGCTGGTGAAGGTAATGTTAATGTGTAGCTAAGTTTCCTAAGGTGAACTGTGATTTTTAAATGAGTTAATCTAAACATGTAATTTGTTAACATTTTTAAAGTTGGTAGCCTAGGCTGTGGGCTTCTGAGCAAAGCTGCACCCTGTCTGGTGGCAAATATGAACTGGTGGCACGTTGTCTGAGCTGTTCCCGTTTGTCCGGTAGACTGGGTAGGCATGCACGGTGCTCTGAGATGGTGTGGCATCTCTTGACAGGCAGGTGTCCACCTACTGCTCTGGAAAGTCCCCTGGCTTGCTGACATCTATTCAGGGCATCCTTGACCAAAAGCAGCTGACCCTTCTGGGGGTGCACAGAGGGCAGGGGAGAGAGTGTCCGGCTCTCCCAGCCCACTCGACCCCCTGGGCTTCAGCCTGGCCCTCACGGAGCCAGTGGGTCTCGCGCCCTCTTAGGGCCTCTCTGTGGCGTCAGCTGCTTAGGTCGCTGTGGGTAAGAGGCTGCTTACTGCCCAGCTCCCACACTTGTGCCTGAGCGTTCATGGCAGTGCTGTGGGGACAGGACCTTCACAACCCCATTTGTTTATAATCTGGGGCAAATAGGGCAAATCAAGGTGTAAGTGCAAACGTAACACCTTTTGTGAATGGGAAGCAGTGTTCATCTCTGCAGCCTCTCCCACTGGCACAAGAGCAGGTTTACTTTGGAATCAAAGAGTCGGAGGTGGGGCGAGTTCGTCCTCCTCCAAGAACCGAGTGCCCACACTGATGTGTGGCAGTCGGTTTGTAGAGTGCCTGCCTCCTCGCACCTGGTCAGTAGAGAGTTACTTCCATCCGGGAACATCCTGCCCAGACTTCAAGGGGTTTTTGTCTGCAGCCCGGGCCTCAGCTGCACAACTGGCCAGGAGCTGCTTGCGAGTGCAGTGTGGGGGCCCACGTGATGGGCCTCCTTCCCTTCCCTGGGGTAAGTGCCCTTGGGCTCCAAGCCCCTAGGCAGGAGCACCGTGTCTGTCGGAGTGCGGTTTGGCTGGCTTTTCCAAAGCTGACCCAGAGTTATGTTCGGTTTCCTACAGGAAACCATCTCAGAGGGCCCCCAGTCAACGTCTGGGGCCCTGCTTGGTGAGGACTGGGCAGTGGGGGCCCTGCCTGCCTCCTGGGTGTGGGTCTGAGAGGTGGGGAGGGGGGTTCCATGGGACCTTCCTGCACACAAGGGTACCGACTGGCCTAGCAGACTCCGGTCTTCGTTGTTAGAGCTCTGGGGGATCTTCCTGGTGCCCTTGGGTGACTCAGGCAGCAACCCCACATGAGCCTGCAGTGCCATCTGGGCACCTGATCCACAGCCCCCCTTGGAGAATGTCAGGCAGTGGCTGTGGATTTTGTACCTGCTCTCGTGTGCTTCCTGCGTGGGCCCAGCCACCGGTGCCCTGGGCCTGCCTGGCCCTGACACCCATCTGCCTGTGCTGCCCGCAGGTCGAGCGGAGCCTGCCCGTACCTGGCGGAGGGACACATGTCAGCGCTGATGGGTTGGCTGGAGTCGGTGCCTCTTAAAGTCAGTTCCTGGCTTCAGATTTTGAAGGAATGCTTTTCAGGAATTATTTAGTTGCCTTAGATTCCAAGAAAGATTGGGTTTTGCTTTGGTATAAGTAACATCACTGCCCACCTGTAGGAGGTATATCTCATGTTACTCCCTACTTTATTCCGGCATCTGGCAGGGGTTCCACCCACTGGACACGCGGACCCTTTCTGGTCTCTTTCTGTACCTGGCTGTGTGGTCTCTCTGCCAAGATGAGCATTTACAGCCCCCTCTGTGCAAACTGCAACAGGGCTGGGAGTGGCGGAGACCCTAGGCTGAGGGCACATGGCTGGTAGACCGCAGACTGCCTATGGACGCTGGGCCTCTTGCGGGCCACCCCAGGCTCCCGCCACTCTCAGCCCAGCCCTTCACATTTCTTAGATGGGCCCTGGAGCCTCGGGGGAAGCCGAGTGAGGGTCTCAAGGTCAGCTGAGGGCGGCGGCTTTGTGTGACTGCAGCCCGGCCCAGCACTCCACCGCATCTCGTGACACCAGCCTGCAGAGCTACCTTGCTCCGTCTGCGCTCCTGACGGCGTCTTGTTTGCAAATTGTTAATCTTTTGGTTGTTAGAATCTTTCGAGCATGAAATTTTGGCTGCTTTTGCCAGCCAATACAATTGCATTTTAAAGTTGAGATTATAAATTGAAAATAACCTGTTTAATGGTTCTTTACTTTTAAGCAGACACTTAACCTTGAGTGTATTTGATTGGTTTAATGACTGATTAATAGTATTTTTGAGGTTAGGCCACATTATTAAATTTCAAAGCAATAGCCTAAACGTACATAGTAGATACTGGTGGTAAGTTTTTAACTCAAGAAGGTATATTCTTACACTATTTTATATTAGTTCTTTGAATATAAATAATTCCAGTGCTGCCATGATGACATGGATGGTTCTGCTGGGACTTATATGATGTTGGTATGCTTTGTATCTGTTTTAGCTATGTTTTTAATAACAAACTTTAAAGATCAGTCCAATAGTTTTTGTCTGTTCTATGCACATGGCCAATTTTCCACCTTTTAAAATGCTATTTTGTAAGCTGATGTGTCTGCTAGGAAACCTACTGGGGACCTCTCCATGGGCGAGCTGGCCCTCCATGCAGTCATTGGACGCTTGCTGCTGTGCACGCGGTCGGTTCCAGGGTGCTGGGGCTGACTCTCGGCGCTCTCTCCTAGGCCAACGAGGTGACAGACAGCGCGTACGTGGGCTCTGAGAGCACCTACAGTGAGTGCGAGACCTTCACAGACGAGGACACGAGCGCGCTGGTGCACCCCGAGCTGCAGTCCGAGGGCAGCTCGGCTGTGCCTTCTGAGGGCCTGGACGCCATGGAGGGGCCTGGCCGCGGTGCCCTGCTGCTACTACCGGGCAGGTCTGTTCTCGCCTTATGTGGCCTGAGGGTATGGAGTGGACGTGTCTGGTGGGAAGCTCGGGTTCCTGGAGGGGTGGGCGTCAGGCTGGTGTCATCGTCACAGAGCCTGGGGAGGGTGCAGATCCTGCAGGGTGAGCCCACGCCTGCCACCTGAGCAGGGTCTGGGCCGTGCCAGCCCTGGTCAGAAATGCCGTAGAAGCATCGCATGGCTTCTTTGGCTGCAGAGGTAGAAATCATGGGGAAAGACCGACTCGTCTCGCGGGTTTTGTCAGCACCGTCCTTGTGAACCGGGTCAGGACTGCGTTCGGAGAGTGTTGTCCCGCAGGATCTTAGGTCCCGTGAGCTTCGTGGCACCCCGACCAGGCCTGCTCCCATCTGTGCGCCTCCCCTGGGGTTCCCCATGCCCTGGCGGAGCTGGCAGGGTCCTAGAGGTGCAGGAGCTGTGGCTTTGCTCCATACTACTTGGGGAGCCATTATGCTTAGACCCTGGAAATGGTTTGGTTTTATCGTTTTGCTGATTTTTTTTGTTTCATTTGGTCTTGTGTTGGCCCCCACAGGGCATTCCATGTTTTCTTTTTAACTGAAGGTTGCATACCCTCAGGAGGGTGCACCTGTCATAGGCAGGCAGCCCCACTCTGCCGGCTCTGCCTTCCTAGGTGTGAGCACACGGTGTGCACGCTCTCACACCCGCCACTTCCGTGTGGCTTTGTGGCTGTGAGGTTGTTCTTTGTACACAGCCGTCAGCCTTTTTCTTTGGTGATCGGTGTGCTGTGGGTGTGACTGCTGCAGCTTTCATTGGCCCTGGTGGGCCTTCGGGCAGGTCAGTTCTGGTTTTATGAGTGAGGCTGCTGAAAATAGGACATGTCCTTAGTGGCCGAGTTTGTGTCTGCAAGTGGAGTGTGGCGCGTTGGGCGTGCACCTGGCCTTAGAGCTGTGGTGCTCATGGCCACGCGGCTGCAGACAGGGTAGCAACTGCACAGGCCCCTGCTGTCTGCCCACTGCGGGGCTCTGGCTGCCCCATCCTGACAGTTCCGGCATCATCTGCACGTCTGCTGCTCCCTGCTTGCTTCCTTCCTGGAGGGCGTGCAGGGGGGCATTGGTGCTGGTAGTTCTTACTGGTTCTCCCGGGTGAGTAAGGGGAGTGTCTTCTCTAGCATTCTTGCATTTGGAGATGCTCTTTTGCGAGGGGCCTGTGTCCTTATGCAGGGGTCTGCCAGCTTTTTCTGTAAAAGGCCAGGTGCTTTCTTTGGCTGGCAGCCATCTGTCCTCGGGGGCTACTGCTCAGCTTTGCTGCTGAAGCGCAGAGCGGCTCATGAGCGGACCCTGCTGCGGCCCGGCCCCGCGCCTGCACCCTGCTCACAGCGCTCCTGCTCAGTCGGGTTTTCTCTCTCTCTTTTTTGTTTTGATTAAGGTATCATTGATATACAATCCTATGAAGGTTTCACATGAGCAGCGCTGTGGTCTCAGCATTCAAGGTGGGCTGCCTCTTACTGACCTGTAGGAGCTCTTTACATATGTTAGGTTCGAGTCTTTTTCCTACCCGGTAGGTTGCTCGTTCACTTTCCTGGTGTTTTTAATTCTATGATAGCCCAATTCTGTTTTTCTCTTGTGGCTCGTACTTCTGTGTTCGTTTAAGAAATTTTAAAGGCTTTGCTGTTGTTCCTTTATATCAACCTCTGTAATCCCTCCATAGCTGACTTGCGTACGGTACGAAGTAGGATCGTTTTTCCACGTGGATATCCAATCCACTCAGCCTCGTTCCCGAAGGCCCTCCTTCCTCCACTGTCTGGTGTCACCTTGGTCCCTGAGGTGGCACAGGTGTGTGGGGCTGTCCAGACCCCCACTGTTCTGTGCCGTGTCTGTTCCCCAGGCAGCGCCACGTGCCCTTCATCCCAGCGAAGCCACAGACCACGCCGTCCGGCGTCTGTCTGCAGCCTGTTCTTCAGGGTGGTGTTGGCACCTGTTGGCCCTGCTGGCCCTGCCATGTGGATTTTAGCGTCAGCGTGTTAGCCTCTGTAGAGAAGTACCTGCAGGGATTTGGCTTGGACCCACAGATCGCTCTGGGGCGTGTCGCTGTCCTCACGGTCTGGGGTCTCCAGGTTTTGGCCTCGTGTACTTCCCTTGCCCGCGCCTTCTCATCTCTTGTTCACAGTCTGAACATGGAATAGACTCTCCCTCCGTGTGGGTCTCCTTCAGTTTGATTGTTGCTTGGGTGTGACCACCAGGTGTGTGCGCTTCAGGCTGGGCAGATCCGTGGGCAAGTACACCTTTCAGGGCACAAGCCCAGCACGTGTGGCCGTGGAGAACGGGGGACCGCCATCTGCGTGGCTGGCAGTGATGGGGACAAGGGGCAACGTGGTGTCTCCAGGGCTCAGAAGGAGGTGGGCCATCTGGTCGTGCCGTCATTGTCTGCAGCTTTCTTACAGTATTTTTTAAGGTAATAAGCTAAATCCTTCTAATTAAATTTATTTTGAGTCAAGTAATCAAAGAAAGCTGAAGAAATGCCAAATATGGGAGATTATTCTGAGGTCTCAATTTTTTTTTTGAAGGTTTCCAGACTCTAAGCCTTCATGCCCATAATCAATGACTTGCCCTCAAGACTTGGTGAAATCACGTTACTGTCCAATTTGAGAAATAGTTTCTTTTTTCCGTTTTGGAAAGCACATTGGTACGAGGATGCTGCTGGTGAGTGGGTGTCACCCATCCTGAGCCGACGGCGTGGTGCACGGCAGCTGTGTCCAGGCCCTGGCCCCCAGTTGGTGCATGTGGCTCTGAAGAAAGCCATGAGGAGAAATCACCCCCAGGACAGGCAGAGAAAGAGAGTGGTGGGCTTCATGCTGCCCTCGTTCCTCCCGTCAGTCTGAGGGTGGCGTGTCCCTCACATGCCGTCAGGCGCCCAGCCCGCGGAGCATGGGGTGTTCCCTCTCAGTGATGCATCCCCCTCTCAGGGCAGGTCTCTCTCCCAGAATCTGGGTACCTTGGTAAACTAAGCAGCCGATCTTACACAGAAACAGAAAACAGTCCTCTGGTAGCATAGCCTGATTTAAAACGGTGATGACTGGGGGCAGTTCTTTCTTCCTGTCTCTGTGTGAGGGACTGACTGCAGACAGGGTCAGTCCGACTTGGAAGCGCTGCAGAGAGCGGTGAGGAGTGAGGCAGTCGACCTGGCTTCGTCCATCCAGGTGCAGATAACAGAACTGTCTGTGAAATTGTGCGTAAAAGCGTGCAAAGCCCCCTACGTAGCTTCTAGATGCTTGCTGGATGTGCATTTGTGGGATGGAATGGGAACCTGCTCCGTGTGCCCAGCGGCTGTGTGGGCGTGGGGAGGCGCACAGACCTGGCTCCCTCCTTGACTAGTGGGAGGCCCCCTTTCCTGCTGGGGAGGTGGGGAGCTCTGCCTGCTCGCAGATTCCTGTTTGGGCCGGTGGTGACAAGCTCAGTCCAGCCCTGGTGCAGAAATGCTGCAGTGGAGCCTGAGCTGAGGGCCTGGCCTCGCCCCATGGCCCTGTCGTCTGGAGGTGGGCGTGCAGGAGCGCTCTCCCTCTCATGGGCAGAAGGGGTGCTAGCAGCGAACCCCCTCACCTCCCCTGGCTGGAATTTGCTTTCTCAGTGTTAAGTCGCAGCAGAAATTCGTGCTCACATTGGCCGCAGCTGTGTGAAGACAGCAGCCCTGTTCAGAAGCAGCCCTGGAGGTGGGCCTTCTCCGGCGGCCATTGTTCCACTTGGCCTGTGGCTGGCACATGAACTGGAGGTGCACAGGGGAGCCGGACATCAGAGGCTGCTTAGGAGATGGGGTGCAGACAGTCTTGTTTTTGAAGTGGTGACATTTTGGGGATGTTGGGCCAAGTAAAATAAGTTGTTAAAATCAACTTCATGTGTTCATTTACTTTTTTTTAACTTGGCTCCTAGGACACTGGAGCTCACGCATGGGCCCTGCCGCACATTTCTGCTGAGTGCCGGCTGCACCCTCGGTTCTGGGGCCGCCCCAGCCGAGAGCCAGCAAGCCCTTTCTGCTCTGCCCCTGCAGACCCTGCCTGCACAGTCAGCCTGTCGTCATGGCGATCGGGGGCGAAGAGCACTTCGAGGACTACGGCGAAGGCAGCGAGGCGGAGCTGTCCCCGGAGACCCTCTGCGAGGGGGGCCGCAGTTGCCGGGAGTCTGTTCTTCCCGTCCCCAGGTGACGCGGCCCTGCACGTGGCCTCCCTGTCCACAGTGGGGGGTGAGGCTCCCTCTTGGTTCCTAACCTGTGTTATTTGTAATGGAATTAAATATACCGCAGTCAAAACTTTAAGACGCGTAGATGGATGAAAGTTGGCCAAAGTTTCTCTCATCCAGTTATATTCCCAGCACATTGCAAAATTATAAGGCCTCAGCTGGGGCATGTGGCACGGAGCCTGTGCTGAGAAACTTGGCCTCGTGGGCTCCGTAGCTCTTAGTGGCAGAAGGCGTCATGGCCCGTGGCTGACACCGAAGGAGGTTCTGTGTACGTGATGTGGGGGCCTGTAATCTCTGCTCTGTTGGCAGATCTCCCTTACACAGCAGTGTCCCCAGCTGTCATCGCCAGGGTCTGTAAGATCCTCTGACCTCCCTCCTCCTGAGGCTGAAGGCTTGTGCCCTTTGACCGGCCTATGAGGGAGGCTTTAGTATCACAGACAGTTCCTCAGGCTCACTTTCTTACAAGTGTCTGGCGGCTACAACCTGTCTGGAAACTTCTGGCCTTGAATAAGCTGAGCCATGGCACCTAGAGGAGAGGAGCCCTCCCCTCACGAAGCACGAGGCTACGTAGAGGCCTGAGTGTGCGGCGTCCTGTAGGCCTGGCCACCCTGTGTTGGTGATCAGCCCGTTGGAGGACATGGCTGCCTCTTCTGGTGAGACGCCTGCCTGGCAGGACAGCCTGTGCACCTCAGTCCCCTTTCCTTTGCCCCCCATTGTTGAAATTCTCCATCTCTGCCAACAGCAGAAAGCGTGCGTCTTTAAGCCAACAACTGCAAGACTCTCCTTTGCCCAAGTGGTTACCCAGGCCCAGGGGACATGGCTGGGGCAGTACTGGGAGGGCCTGCCCGCCAGGGCTCCCTCTGGCTCCTCGGTGGGCCCCTCGTGAAGGGCTCACCAGCCTTGGGGTGGGGGCCTGCCACAGGCGTGCTGGGAAGAGGAGCTATGCCCTCTCCTGACACGCACCTGCGTGATGGCGGAATTAAGGCCAGAGGACTTGGCAGGCTTAATGTGCCGCGCTCCTGTCCCGTCACATCCCCTTCCGCTGGCTTAGCTCGTGTCTCTCTCCTGTCCTGTGCTCTTACTGGTTTTCCATCTCAGTGCAACATCTGTGCCACAGTTGGTATTCCCCTTTGAGTCTCCTTAAACTGGACTTCCCAACTGGCTTCCAGAGGCCTGCCGGTCCTCAGCCCCAGGGACGGTGCTACCTCCTGGCCTCTCCTTCTGGGGTGTCGCGGGTGCCTTGAAAGCCCACCGACATTAGGTCGCAGGGAGGCCAAAAGAATTCTGAGTTGCCAACAGCCTTGAGGATGGCATTCTGGTGATAAGGCAGCATGTGGCTTTTGATCCTGGTGGTTTTTAGAGCAGCTATTAAAATATTTCCGCACAGTAAGTGAGACACCCCCTCGAGACAGGCTGCACCCTCAGGCTGGTGGGCTCTTGACAGGGTCAGAGCAGCGCGTGCAGCGCTTACCTCCTTGCAGGAAGGGCTTTTCTCTTGTGATGAAGGTGACGGGCTACGCCCGCCCTCTGAGCACCAGACCAGGAACAGGCAGGTGTGGAGCTAAGCCCCCTGCTGCCCCAGCTGGTGGGTGTCACAGGGCCTGGAGGTGACATTGAGGCAAGTGGGTTCTCAGCAGTCTTAAGGTAAGAGCCAGAGTCTTCCAGAGCCAGATTGCTGACCTCCTGCTGCCGTCCAGCCCCGAGGGGTGTTCCGGACGCCCCGACAGGCCCTGCTCTCTCCTGAACTGACACCTCTTGTCTCTCTAGCGCTCGTCCGCTTGTCGCAAAGCTGCACAGCATCCTCACTGACGAGGCGTTTGAGTTTTACTGTAGCCAGTGCCACAAACAAATCAACCGTCTTGAGGATCTTTCTGCTCGCCTGAATGATCTTGAAAAGAATAGGTAATGGATGCAGCGCCTGGCCTCGCTCTTTGTTCAAGGGCGGGGGAGACTCCGGTCACCTGTGGCTCCCCGCAGCTGCTCTGACCTGAGGTGACACTGGCTCAAGCCAGCCACCTCTGGGGTGCTTGTCCTGAGGCCAGCATGCAGCTGTGGGCTCTGCCTCTGCCCCCCCAACCCTGCATGCGCTTGGCCTGTGTCTGGGGGTGCACGCTGCCCTTCTCGGCCACATGCACGTGCCGTGGCCTGACCAGCCGCCTTGGCCCCAAGGGAGGGGAGGATCTCCCCGCGATGTGGACATCCAGCACATGAGAGAAAATCTGAGCTTAGAAAGAGATACTTTCTTTGCTGTACCAAGATTTCTTTCACTGAGAGTCTCAGGAAACAGTACCAGAAAATTTAAAGTAAGATTTGGTCTTAAAGAACAGATTGTAACCAGTTTTCAAGAATGTTAGTTTAAGCCAGGGGTGCATACTCCGGGCGACCCCTCCTGAAATCGTTTCTGTAAGGCCGCCTCAGACTCCATCGCCAGAGGAATCCCGATTTGCTGCGCTGCTGTGAAAGTGGGCGGCCCAGCCCAGCACAGGCTCCCTGACCTTCGTCCACCTGTTAGGTTTCTCTTCTCTGTCTGTTGGCTCCAGTTGGTATCAAAGCCATTTGCCTCCCTCTCTATCCGCCAAGCACACACCCGGCTCAGGCCAGGATTCTAGAGGAAACGGTCCCTTTTACTGGCTTCTCACAATTGCACAGACTCCAGGTGCAGAAAGCATTTTGGATAGCTTGGACACACACTGACATGTCCAGTACACGTACTGTTGTATGGGCCCGAGCGGTCTGGAGAGGAGATGGGTCACGTGCGGAGCTTACCGCAGCAGCCCCAGCCCAACGAGTGGTGAGCAACCCCCAAGAGCTGTTGTGCTGGCAGGAAGGGTGGCGCATCCTGACCTCTGCTGCGGGCTCCTGGGCAGCAATGTGGGGCAGCTTCCTATATGAAGGGGCCTTGGACCAGTGGGAGAGCACATAAAAGCTGGCAGAAAGGTGACCCATCCTGATGGTTTCGGTGTGTTCAGAACAGCCTCCTAAAAGCTGCCTCCCGGCCTTGAGGGGCCTGCCCTCTAGGGCCTCAGCCAGGGCCGGCTCGGTCTCCCCAGGGGTCCTCACAGCTGGCGGCCCCGTTGTTCCCACTGTCCTGCCTCAAACCCCAATTGCAGCATCTTTGACATCTGATAAAATTTCTACCCAGTGAACTTTTTCTTATGTTCTTTGCGACACTCCACATGCAGGCTCGAGTCCGTCCAGCAAGTGCCCAGTCAGGTGTGGGGGGGACAGGACCTGGCGTTTGTGGCCATCTGTCAGCTTCAGAGGGGAGCTGGTGGGGGTCCTACCAGCACTGGTGGGAAACTAGAAGTGCGCTTAGTGGGGGCTTTCCAGGGATACTTGAGAAAATGTGGCATCTGATTATTCTAAAGACCTGCTAGCCTCTGTTTAGGGAAAACCGGTCTCCACCTTTTGTGTGTGTTTGAGTGAGTGTTCAGTGCTTCAGGACGTCCACTGCACCTGACTGGTGAGGGACCCTCTGTCCTTCTCCTCTGGAGACCTGCCCTCTCACCAGGTGGGCTTGATCACCTCTCTGTAAATGACAGGAAACATAAAGGCATTTCTCGTCCCTCATTCTTGGGAGACTGAATGTAGAAGTGGTCTTTTCCCATGTTGCCAGCCTGCCCCAGGACAGCTGTGGCCACCTGTGCTGTGCTCTGTGGGGCAGAGAGAGCCTGGGATGCGGCTAAGTTCAGCCAGCACGTCCAGCGTGGCTCACGTCTCAGCCACCTGTTGCCCAGGACAGACTTGCCAAGGTGGGTTAATAAGCCACTAAAACCATTGTTATCATCAGGACACAGCTATCAGAAAATTGCTCCTGAGCCCTCAGCTAAGGAGATCTGAATCTTGCCTGTTGGTTTCCATGGGATTGCCTCAAAATTAACATATTTGGTCATAGCTGGTGGATGATAAAAGGTGATTTAGTCCACACTGTATCTGGAAGCTTTGATGTCAGGTATGATTTCTCCCCAGTGAATCTCAGAACGGGCCAACAGCTGTCGTGTTTCCTAGCTCCTTGGGAGACCCTGCAGGAAGCGTTCCTTCTGCGGACACTGAGAAGTCCCGCACCTAGAGGCGTACTGCCACTGCCTGACGGTCTGGCCCCTGAGAGTCGGTGGGCAAACTGCTCAGTGAACCTGTGCTACCCATTAGTTTCGGGGAGTCTCAGAGATACTAGGACAAAATTAGATTTGTGTTAAATTGTGTAAGTGGTATCAGGGTCTAGACAGGAGAGGGAGCCACACAGTACCTGGGAGGCTGCTACCAGCACCCAGCACTGGGAGGGGCAGGGGAGGGTGTGGTGTCGGCGCCCCTGAGGTGCCGTGCAGGGGCCTGGAGCCTGGGAACAGACCCTTTCCTCCTGCCCTGTCTCTCGTAGTGCCCCTCCCCCTGAAACTTGGGTCCGCAAGGAAGAAAGGGTGAACTAGGGCTGAGGGGCAGAAAGTCGGCGACTGGTAGAGCACATACTTCTCTTCGCAAAGAACTTCCCACCCAGGCTTTAAGAGAGTCATAGGTGTATTTGATTGTCAGGTGGAGAAGATGAGTTCAAGACAATGATTTTTCTTGTGCTCAGAGAGATGACTTGCATCTTCTCTTAGGCTGAGGCTAACGGTTTAACAGTTAAATTGGAAATAAAACTTTGGGCTTCAGAATGAGAGATAAGGTAAGTGTGGCGGTTTTTGCCCCTGCGTGATCACATCAGAGGGGCAGTGTGTAACCGACTGGACTCACTACCCTGGAATGGCAGCAGGGAAAGTTTCCAAAGCTCTGGCAGGCGGGATGATGGTACACAGTCCTAGTGCCCAAAGGAAGCCCGTGACAGGCCCCTTCCATTGTCCATAAGGCTGCAGGGTGCCTCACGTGGGCGCCAAGCATTCAAGGGCAAGTTTGGCTTCAGAAGGGTTTGGAACGTGGCGTCAGCTGCTGCTCAGACCCCGTACGTCCAGCTGGTGGGTCCGGGCGCTGGGGTCGCCTCTGAACTGGGTCTGGCTGTGGCTCCACCTCAGGCATCCATGTGGCTGGCTGAGGCCTTGGCAGTCCCCGAAACTGCCCCCGGGCCCCTGAGTGTTGTGCTGAGTGGCCATTCCTGCACGGAGCCACATGCCTGTGGAGCCGAGCCCTGTATCTCGTCAGCCTGACTTTCCTGTTTCCTCCTGTGGCTCCCTATCTGTCCTCTGACACAATTTTCCTGTTTATTTTGATTTGCACAGTCCAACGAGGCGGCTCTCCAGCAGGAAGGTGGCAAGGTAGGAGACCCCTGCTTACTACTGAGATGCTTTTCTAAAGTATTGCTGTCTGTCATAGCTCTTTAAAACATGCTCAGAAAATACTATTTCCCAAGGTATTTAAAACATTTTAAAGTTACTTCTCATGTTTGGGGTTCAAAGTAATTTGAAGGTATGTGTTGAGAAAGGTGTTCCCCTGGCTGTGGCCTAGGCCTGGGCTATGGCAGGGGGTCTGTGCTGGAAGCTTTCGGCATTCCTCGTCTCTTAATGAGTCTTTACGGCAAGGTCCCCACATGGCGACAACGGGTCAACCCCCTGGTGCAGAGGGTCTGCTAGGGGCTGACGTCTCTGAGCCAGAGTGTGATGGAGCCTGGGTCCACATCCGCCTCCTTCAAGGCTGCCCCCTTCCTGCCCCCCTGCCCCCCAGCTCCCCAGGCGAGGAGAATGTGAGAGAGACGTACCCACTTCAAGTTTCTGAAGAACGTGCCTTTGTGGCCATTTCTTCATCACTTGGTTTGTATGCTGCCTGTTCCTCTGCAGCGACAGGACGGGCTCGCACGCCGCTTCCCCTGCCAAGCCAGCTCCGGCTCAGCTTTCACGGGGTGGCAGGGAGAAAAGAGGTCATGGGATACATGCCCGAGAGCTCCTTGGACGCCTCGCCCTAGAGTGCATCCCAGATCGGAAATGGGTCTGGGCTGCGTTTGGGGGCAATGTTCGCTGTCTTCTAACCCCAGGGAGGCTGCTGAGAAAAAGCTGATACTTCTGAGTTTTCCTTGTGACTGTTTTTTCCTCTTTGGAAGTTTTTAAGATTTTTTTTTTTTTATCTTTAAAGTTCAGAAATTTTATGATGAATCTTGTGAGTCCTTTCTCCCATTAACTCTGCTGTGTAGAATGGAAGGTGTGCTGTCTCAGTCTGGGGGCGCCTGTCCTTCAGTTCTGGGGACCGTTGTCATGTGGTCTCCCTGACGGTGCCTCCTCCCAGCTTCCTGTGGGGCACCTGCTCGGGGCCTCTCGCCCCTCAGCCTTGCTGCCCATGCCTCCCCTGCTTGGGCTCCCCTCCGGGTCTCCTCCCCGAGTCCTTGTCTGCGCTCTGGCTTTCTTAGACGTTTGCCTGGAAGAGCTGGGGGTGCTGTCTGTCCACGCCGCAGTGTTTGTCCACAGCTGGTGGGGGACCTCCGGCAGGTGTGTGCTATGGATGGGGCCCCTGTGGGGGCAAGGGTTTTCTCCAGTCCGGCTGGACAGTTCCCTGTGTGGAGTCCTCACCCGGCTGCTGGTGTCGGGATCCACGCCAGGCCGCCCACGTTGTTCACAGAGGCAGAGCTGTGGGTCCCGAGTCTGGGCTCGCCTGGGTCTGGGAGGGTGCTTCTCAAGGCGTGCAGGAGACCCCCTCCTTCCCTCACCTGTGCCCACCTGTCGCATCCTCGGGGGCTGTCCTTCCTGGGCTCTCCACAGAGAACTGGCAGCCTCCAGCCTGTGCCTCCGTTCTCGCTTCCTGGGACCCTGGACACCTCTTTTCCGGTTCTATCTCCTCTTCTGCTCTTTGTCCTCGGGTATGTAAAGCTCAGGTTTTCCTGCATTTTAAGGGCGTAGGAACCAGAGGAAGCAGAAGCCACTGCTGTCAGTTCGCCTCCCCACCTTGTTTCCTCCATGGCACTTTTCGAAAAGCCTCTAAGTTCTTAGGAATGTCATAACAATTCCAGCTGCAACTTTGATTGTAGGCTTAGCTTCACTTCCGTTCTCACTCCCATCTTTTACCCCAAATAGGCTACAAAAAGCTGGAGAAACTAGGGAAAGTAAACAACCTCGCTGAGTCACCTCTCAGCTCCTGTGCCTGGGTCAGGCACGGGCCTGGGACACGGGCGCTGTGTCTTTTCACTCCCGGGAAACACCCTTGGTGGACCTTGTAAATAGGGGCGTTGTTCTGCCATCCACACCCAGCGATGCAGCGTTAACCTGTTCTGCCCTAAAACTGCCCCCAGAGCCCCGAGGAGACTCCTGGTGCCACAGCCCCTCTGCATGTGGCCCTGTGCCCGTGTGTGGGTTCAGGAGCCACTAGCTCTGGCCTGTGACCTGCTGTGTGCCTGACCTGGATGGAAGTGGCTCTGGGGTTGGTGTGCGTGTGAGAAGCTGGAGCCCTGGCACAGAGCCAGCCTTGCTGGGCAGAGGTGCAGAGTGGCACCCCCTCAGCAGAAGGCAGGCTCGGGTCCCGTGTTGGTGGTGTGTAGCCCAGCACCTGCTGTCTTGCTGCCAACCCCCCGCAGCCCTTTGGGGTGGATTAGGCTGCCCCCAGCCCCACTTTTGGGGTCCCTTGAATGGGGGCAGACCTAAATGAACAAGCCCACCACCCACCATGCTGAGGCCTTGGGGACTAGGTGTGACCTCATCCTCACATCCAGCCCTTTGGAAGCTCCTGGAGCTCAGGCCATGGGCACAGCCCAGGGCCACAGCTGTGGCCCCTCTGTGGGGTGTCCTGGGTCTGGAGGAGGCAGCGTCCTGCCCTAGGAGTGGCATCAGGGTCTCATATATGGGGTCAACGTCCCGGGCGTCTCAGAGCAGAGGCTGGGGAGAACACGACGCCCTGCCCTGCTGCCCGCCCCTAGGCTCAACCCTGTCCAGGGTGAAGATGTCGTCCTTCTTTTTTCTTCCCCTTGGCACATTTCTGGGGATAGTATTTAGAAAATGTACAATCTCAGTCCATCCTCAAAAAAGAAATAGAACCTCATTCATCTGATAATGTAGAAATCTTCGGTACAATTTTTAATAGCATTTTATTGAATTCTTACTCTGTGCTGTATCTTTAACAGAAATGTTTACATGTATATAAAAGAACCTCCCTGAAACCTCACACTGGCCTTCAGATGCCCGTTTTTCAGGAGGGGCAAGGATCAGAGGCTGCGTGCCTTCCTCTGGGTCATGTGGCTCTGAGCAGCAGGCTGCTGAGCGTAGTGCCTGGGTTGGTATGTGTAGACGTGCTGCTGGACGCTGGAGTTTCTGGTGCTCCGGGTAATGCAGCTGATACAGCGTCACCGCAGCTGACAAGACCGTTACTGGGTGGCTGAACGTTTGTGTGCCAAGTGCCTTCTAAGGGGCTGGTGTCCGCGGAGCGAAGACGGGCTCTGAAGGCACAGAGGCTTCTGGCGCTTCCGCAGGATGGTGGGGCCTGTGTCTGCCCGAGTCCTGGGCCTGCACAGTACCTGGTGTGGCCCACAGGGCTGGACATAGAGGGTGCTCATGCCTGCCCGTCATCCTGACCCTGAGGAGACCCTGGGAAAGACACGCCATCCACAGAGGTCGGGGTCCTGAGCCAATACCTCGCGGGCCCCCCATGCAAGATGGGTGATGGCGTGCCACAGGAAGGAATGATGGCATGTTTGCTGCCCAGTGCGAACTGCTGTCGCCTGGGGAGCTGGCCGGGCAGGAAGCCGGGCCTGCTCAGCTCCAAAGAGCAGCGGGAGGTCACTGCAGCCCCAGAGCGTGGCTAGCTTGCCCCTCAGTAATGGCGTCCTGCCTGGAACCCCTCAAGGGGACACCTGGGCCCCTGCTGCTGGGTTTTGCTTTTCAGGTGGACCCGGAAATGCTCATTTTAGGAACTAGCTGCTGGGTTTTCCCCCTTTCCTTTTTTCTGCCAAAGGACCTTCTGTGGACCCGGCTGTTGTTTCCTCTCCACAGGCACCTGCACCAGTCGGGGGCCCTGACCATGGAGGGCCTGCCGGAGCCTCCGCTGGACCCCGTGGAGAACATGGAAGAAGACATTGCTGACAAGGTAGGCCCTGGCCCGGGGCGGAGTGCTGTGTGCAGACGGCCCACCTCAGGGTGCCTTCCGAGCGCGGCAGCCCCGTGGTGCACCCCGCGGGGTGCTGGTCATCGTCCTGGCAAGCGGTGGGTCTCCGCAGGAGATGGAGGCGCCTTGAGGGCCACTCAGACCCCTTGGTCCTGACACCGTCCAGCAGGCCTCCTGGGGTTCCCGGCCCTGGGAAGGAGCCCCCGAGGGCGTGGGGGTCTCCTACATTCCTCTGAGCGCATCCAGGGTTCCGAGCTCGGGTCACCAGGGGCCTGAGGCGGGGGCTCCAGGTTCCCGGGAGGAGGGCACCCAGCCTGCAGTGATCACAGGGCTGTTCCCAGAGGCGCCTACAGCGGGGCCGGCAGGGCAGGGCACCTCCTGTGTCAGGCCCCGCACCTTGCCGCCGCCTGCGCCCCTCGCCTCCCCCTGGCACCTCCTCTCTACGGCAAGTCCAGCATCTCGTGAGGCTCTCCAGGCTGGTGGCCTTCACTCCTGCCACCTGTGTGGGTATCTGCCTCCAACCTGGATAGTGAGCTTCCTGGGGAGTGAGGGGCTGAAGTCCAGGCCTGTCTGTGCCTCGCATCCCCCGCCCCCGTGGGCCAGGCCGGCAGTGCGGGGGCCCCCCGTGGGGGCCGGGAGCCTCACACCTTGTGCACCGTGTGCTCCCGGTCCTCCGTGATGCCTGCGAGGCTGCATCGCCTCCTGTACGGGGACGGTCTTCATCAGAACGGGCCCGGCTTCAGCAAGTGGATGCTGCCCCCAGCAGCTTGCAGGGCCCAGACTCCTGCCCTTGGTGCTCAAGCTGCTGTCTCACTCCCGAGGTGGTCTTCCTGGAGAAGCGGGTGTCTGAGCTGGAGAAGGACACAGCGGCCAGTGGAGAGCAGCATAGCCGGCTGAGGCAGGAGAACCTCCAGCTCGTGCACAGGTGAGCACGGCAGCAGCAGTGTGACCCCCCTGGCCCGCCTGGCCTCCCCAAGCAGGGCACAGGCTGCTGAACAGAGGTGCGGCTCTCGCCTGGGCACCTCTCTACCAGCTACCGGAAGCTGGCTCGGGGTGGGGCTGGCTCTGGCCAGGCACTCTGCCCCAGCACCCAGGGCCTAGAGGGGAGAGCCAGGGAGCAGGTGCCACCTCGGGAGCAGCTGAGGCCAGCAGCCCCCGCCTGCTCAGGCTGCACGGGGACAGACAGGCTGGGGTCCCGCTTGCATCCCATAACCCAAGAGCCCGTCCTCGCCTCCCTGGACGTGGGCTCGTTAGCTTTGTGACTGTCGCTGCGCTGTGCGCACGTCACATCATCTCTTACCTGTATGCTCTCCTGGGCACAGGTGCTGCTGCTGTTCTCGTTTCAGAGATGAGGGAACGAGGGCTCCAGGAGCTTGGGCAATTGCCCAGGGCAGAGGCAGTGGGGGCTGGGGGCTGGGCCAGTGCCTCTGGGCCCACCGCACCAGGAGCCTGAGCCTGGCAGGAACACGTGGGCCTAGTCCATAGGGCCAGAGCACTGAGGGAGGGACTAGTGACTGCGGTGCTTGCATGGGGGGGTGGGGGGTTGCTTTCCTCACCCGTTTTGCAGACTTTTCAGAAAACACTGATTCTTGGCATTTTGAAACCTGTTGTGCCACGTGCCTCGTGTCCAGTTTGTCGTAACGTGTCCTCGTGCACAGTGGGAGCCTGGCCAGGAGCCTCTGCTCTCTGGGCTGTGCCCGCATTTGCTGTGGGGAGGCCTGAGCAGTGCTGACAGGCAGGAGGCTCCGGGTGGGGTCCACGCCTAGGGTCTGTCCTCACCAGGCTGCTGGGCCAAAGCCTGGCTCTGCCCTGACCCCCACGGCCTGCGTGTCCTCACCCGTGACTTGAGCACATGGACCCAGGCCTGCCCACGCACACATGGCATTTTCATCAAGACCAGGCCTCCTGAGGCTCCCAGGGACGCTTGGCTCTTGCTGTAACATTCCCATCAGGACGATGTTGACCGTCATCACCTGTCCTCCTGGACGCTGAAGACCAGGGCATTGTGTAATCACAGGCGCCCCCCCGCACCCCCTCTGGCACATCATGACAGGAGTCAGGACCCTGGCCCGATGGCTGCCTGCTCCCCTGCCTCTGCTGCAGAGTGGGGTTGCGTCAGCCGCACCGTGAAGGGGCCTGGCCTCCGGTGCTGCACCAATCGTGTTGCATCTGCAGTTTGTTACCCTCCCCATGTCCTGGTCCAGAAAAACCACCTTTCCTGAGCTGCCTGGAGAGGCTCCGTCCAACCTGACAGGCATTTGTCAGTCGTCCACATCAGTGGTGGAAAGTCCACACTCTGTGCCTCGCCCTGCCCTCCCCCCAGTCCCCGGCCCCAGGATCAGCCATGCCCAGGTCCTGTGCTTGTGTTTTCCGTTTGCCCGAGGTCGCTGACAGCACACTTCTCCCGCACAGCCCCCTCCTCCCCACCGCGGTCCTCGCGGCTCTCGCTGCCCTGGGGGCTGCACGCACCTTCTCGGGGCTGGCTTCTTCTCTCTCGTGCATGTTTTCTTCGTGTGCTGGCTTGTTGTCCCGAGGATATCCCCCAGCTGTTGCCTGGGAGACGGCGCACAGCGGTCAGGTTCTTTGGACTCTGTCTCTGAAAACGTTCGCCCACTGCAGGTGGCTGGGCCTGAGAGTCCAGCTGGAGCGGGGTCCCTACGAACGTGAGGGCACGCCCTGGCGCCTTCCACCCGTGCTGCGTTTGAGGTGGCCCTGCTGGTGGGCCAGCTGTGTGTCTGACTTCCCACCCTGGACACTCTGAGGGTCTCTTACTGTTTCTTGGGCTGGGCACGTGGTTTCCACCCTTTAGATCTGGAAAATATGTCTTTCTACAATTACTTTTCTACAGTTTCTTCCATTTCCTCATCTGTCTGAATTTGTGTCAGTCGAATATTAGACGTTCCAACCTGCCCTCGTTCTCTCTTCCCTAGTCTCTGACTTTATCTTTTATGTTTTTCTTCTACGTAATAACCTTGGTTTTCTCCTCCAACTTTTTTGTTGGATTTTACATCTTTTCTTCTCATATTTTTGATTTCTGAGAATTACCTTTCTTATCACCTTTTTTGTTACTTCCATCGCATTCTGCCCATCCCGTGCTTGTGTCTTGGTTCTGAGATCCTCATCAGTTCCCAGGCGGCTCCAGCACAGTGTGTGTCATTCGAGGGGCTCTGTCTGCCCTGGCTGTGTGTGCTGAACGCGGTCCTCTGGTGTCATGTGACCTTTGGCTGGCTGTTCACTCTTGGGCGTGAGGCCCCAGAAAGCAACTGAGAAGCCCCGTGTGCATGGATGGCTAAGGGTGTGGACTCCGTGCTGTCTGTGGGCAGGGCCTGGAGCCCTTCTTGTTGGGGTGGTCTGTCTTCTGAGGGTGGGCATGGTGGTCCAAGGGGCCGGTGTCAGGGCCCCTGTGCGAGTGGCTCCTTTGTCCCCATGTGCTTGCCAACACCTGCCCTCACCTCTGCCACAGGCGGCCAGGGAGCAGCTGGGCTGCACACCAACCCCCCTCCTGGCGTGCCAGGGCAGGGTACTGGGGTGGGCGTCTGGTGGGCCTGTGCCCCTGAGCAAGCAGGCGGTGACTCTTGGTGGAGGCCGGTGTGGGGGGGCAAGCTCCCGCCCGAGGGCACCGCAGACTGCCCCCCATCACAAGCCGGCCATGGGCCTGACTTCCCAGTCGCCCTCAGTGGGGAGGGGAGGCCATCTGGGGCCCACCCTGACTCCAGGCCACCCTTGACCAGAGCTCTGGGTGGGAGTCTGAGTCTGACGCCCTCCTGCAGGCGGGGCAGGCTCTCCTGTGGCCTCCAGCGTGGTGGGAAGGGCCTCCTCCCCTCTGCCTTCACAGAGCCAATGCCCTGGAGGAACAGCTGAAGGAGCAGGAGCTGAGGGCCCAGGAGATGGTCCTGGAGGAGGCGCGGAGGCAGAGGGAGCTCTTGTGCAAGATGGGGAGAGAGAGGAGCATCGAGACGGAGGGCCTGCAGGCCAGGTAGGGCAGTCCCAGCCCTGCGAAGGACACTGCGTTGTGCCCCGCCCCAGTGAGGTGCAGTGTCTGGGGGTGAGTTTGATCGAGGAGAACTGAGACTCCCTGTGAAGGGAGCAGAGGACTCCACCGAAGGCCCCAAAGGCCTGAAGCCTGGCCCCACGTGGATCACTTTCTCTAAGTCTCTCTAGTCCATGTTGTCCAGTCAAAATACCAATCTTTTTTAGGGCAACTTCACAAATTTAACTTTATGCTCATCTGGAGGCATAAGTCGTGGATGAGCCAGGACAGTGGGGCGAGGCCAGGGGTGAACGTGTGTGCCACGTGCCATGAAGCCCCAGAGCCAGGGTGCTTGGCGCTGCAGGGGCGGGTCCACGCCCGGAGCCCGGCCGGATCCCTGCACAGTCACACATGCAGGTGACTGTCCTTGAATCATGGTTTGAGAAAGGAACCCACACATAACACCAGTGTCCCAGCAGAGAAGTGGCTAGAAGGGTGCCTCTGAGAACCACCCCATCCCTGCAGAGTGCCTCTCCCGGGGGCAGTGAGGGTGGAAGTATTTCATAGAGTCGTTACCTCACCAGTGCCACGTTGGGAGCTCAAAAGACAATAGTCATAAAAGTTCATGAAGGTGTCTTCCTTCCTGGGTTTTTCACATTCTCACTCCAGCTTATGAAGCTGGGAGGACACATCGTGGCTTTTAAGAGGAGCTCCTGGCATTTTCAAAAATGGGGGTGGCAGGAAGGGGCTGCATGCAGAGCTGTGCTGGGGTCACCGTGGATGGGAGGTCTCCTCGCGTGTAGACAGAGGGGCACCACCACCTCGGATAGCTGGGCCCAGCAGCCCGGCCAGCTTTCTTCCCTGGGCCTCAGTACAGCACACTTCAGTGGACTCAGAGAAAGCCACGTTCCTCATCTGTGCATGCAGGTAGCCTCTCCTTTGGGTCCTGTCCACTGGGGCTGTGGGTGCCAAGAGGCAGGGCCTTCCTCCCTTCCCTGTCTGCCCACACCAGAGTCTACCCAGCAGAGGTGTCCTGGGGGGCGCCAGGGTGGATGGGGTCTGTGCTGCTTGGCGCAAACCTGCTGCCTGCTCTGTGTACATTCCCTGTGCCACTGTGTGCCCGGACCCCATCAGCTCCTGCAGCTCTGGGGCTGGAGGGGGCAGAGGCCTGTGGTTCTTCAGGAGCTGCGTGGGCCCTCAGAGCCCCTCTATCCCTGTGTCAGCACCCTGGGGTGAGCCCCGCACAGGCCTCCCTGGCATGGCCCCTGTCCACTGGCTTACAGAGGAGAGTGTGCAGCACAGGGATGCAGGCTCCTGGTGGAAGAGCTGGACACTGGGCAGCACCCTAATGAGGCTGCACTGGGCCATCACCCAACATGTGACTGCTCAGTGGCAGATGAAACACGCGGGGAAGACACAAGTTTTCCTTACAGAGGGATTCCAAGCAGCCCACAGACACGTCCCCTCGGCGGGGATGGGGGGCAGTGGGGTGCGGCACTGTGGCTCGATGACTGGCTCCCCGAGGACAGAGAGTGGGTGGGAAAGGTACACTTGGCAGGAGACCCCGGCAGGTGCACCCCAACTGGTGGTCCAGGTCAGCATCACCACGATGAGTCGTCAGGACTCAGCTACTCCTGGCCAGGGGACGAGAAGGGCACCCCACCTCTGCGGGATTCTTCCCAAACCCGTGGCCCGTCTAGTCCCCAGTAAACCCCAGACAAACCCAAGTTGAGGGACGGCAGACCAAAGACACGAGCAGAGCTGCTCAACACTGCCAGGGTCATGAAAAGCCAGGGGAGTCCAGGCCGCAGGCCAGAGGGGACCCAGAAGAAGAGAGGGCGGGGTGCAGCACAGTCCTGGGGGTCACGGAACGGGAAGGGGCACCGGGGGAAAGGCCGAACAGGATCCATGGCTTGGTGACTAGTGGGTCCCAGTGTGAGCGTGTGGGCTGAGATAGATGGGCCACAGTGAGAAGCAGATGCCACAACAAGCTGAAAGGGCCGGGGTCCCGGGGACTCTGTACTCTGCACCTTTTCTGTGGACCTAAAATTATCCCCGAACCCAAAGTGTATTTAAAAGCCATCCTGGCACCTGGGAAAGCTTTGGCCTAGAGCACCGGTGTGTCCCAGGGCACGGGGGATCGGCCTCTGGATTCCCAGCCTGTGCGCTAGCTGGTCTCTGAGACGGGGCCCCCCTTGCCGCAAGGAGGCGTCCTTCTGGGGAGCTGGCCCAGTCTTGTCCTTGTGCCCCAGGCTGCAGCAGCTAGATGAGGAGAACAGCGAGCTGAAGGCCTGCGTGCCTTGTCTGAGGGCCAGCATCGAACGCCTGGAAGAGGTGAGCCGCTGGCCCGGAGGCCTGCCTCTCCTCCGTCCTCGGCACCTGATGGCTGTCGGGGGCTCAACGGGGGGGGGAGGCTTTCCAAAGCGGACAGCCGCACGGCTGGCCTGGGGGCCTACGTGGGAGCAGCTGGTTGACCAGTACGCCTACAGCCAGGAAGCTGTGTTGCTTCAGAGAGCAGGTCTGTGTGTAGGGGGCAAGGGAAGCCTGGCTGGGCTGCCCTTTGCTGGAAGATGCCGGATCCTGCCTGGGGTCATGCTCAGATCCCCCAGCTTTCCTGAATGCACGGGTGATGTCTCTGAGGGGCTGATCCTGGCTCGACCCCTCATGCCTCCCCCCGCAGACGCTCCCTGAGGGGGCTCTTCTCCCTGTTCTCTCCTCCTTGCCAAGTGTCCTCCTGGGGCCCTCTGAATCCTGAGGACCTTTGAGTCCCCTTGTGCTCTGGCAGCTGCAGCTCAGGTCCTTCCCACTCTGCCGTCTCTGGGCAAGTCCCTGTGGCCTGCGGCGGTGCCCAGGCCCTGAGAACTGCCACGCCCGGGTGTGCCCACGGCAGCCGTGACTGCGAAGGCTCAGGCGCAGCCCTGCAGACACGAGTGGCCTGAGCCTGCCAGGCACGGACAGCTAAGAGGCTGCGTGAACCGAGTGGCCAGTGAGGCATGCGCTGCATGGTGAGGGTTTCACTCCTGCAGGAGAAGCAGAAGTTGCTGGATGAGATGGAAGAGCTGTCGCTGCGGCTCGGTGCCGAGCAGGAGCACAGGAAGAAGCTGGGGGACAGGCTGAGCCATGAAAAGCACCAGTTCCAGAGGGACAAGGAGGCCACCCAGGAGGTGAGTGTGGCGTCTGGGGGATGGGGGTGCGGTGGAATGCACTGTGGACCCACAGCTGTGCCTCTTGTGTCACAAGACCATGGCGTCTAACTGGGCTGGGCGTGGGGCAGCCTTTGGGAAGCCTGGCGCTGCCTCGGGAAGTAGCGCCCATACCGACCCAAAGGGTCAGACCCAGGGGCCGCGCTGACATGTGCTGCCCCACCGCGCCCACCCCGCGGCGGCCCTGCAGCTGATCGAGGACCTGCGCAAGCAGCTGGAGCACCTGCAGCTGTTCAAGCTGGAGGCTGAGCAGAGGAGGGGCCGGAGCAGCGGCGCAGGCCTGCAGGAGTACAGCAGCCGCGCGCGGGAGAGCGCGCTGGAGCAGGAGGTCCGCAGGCTGGAGCAGGTGCGGCGCCCGTGCCAGGGGCCCCCTCCCCCCCCCGGGCCCGTGCAGGCTCAGGCCCAGAGTGACCGCCCTCACCCCCGCAGGATAACCGCAACCTGAAGGAGCAGAACGACGAGCTCAACGGGCAGATCATAACCCTGAGCATCCAGGGCGCCAAGAGCCTCTTCTCCACGTCCTTCTCCGAGTCCCTGGCGGCAGAGATCAGCTCCGTCTCCCGCGATGAGGTAACACCCCCCACCCCCTGCCCGGGCCTGGCACCCAAAGGCGCCTGTTGCCGTGCGCCCAGTGCCGACCCCCTGCTCCTCCCCAGCTCATGGAAGCGATTCAGAAGCAGGAAGAGATCAACTTCCGCCTGCAGGACTACATTGACCGGATCATTGTGGCCATCATGGAGACCAACCCATCCATCCTGGAGGTCAAGTAGAGGCAGGAAGACTCAGCCCTGCTGGACTCAGGATCCCACCAACACCCCAGATGGCCACGGCACACACGGCCAAGACCAGCAGGTCCCACACCCTCCGAGGGGGAGCATACAGCCGGGCTGGGGTGCACAAAGACGGGGCTGCAGGAGCAGGGCTCAGAGGGACAAGCCCCAGGAAGCCCTGGGAGGGCCGCCCCTGCACAACTGTGGGAGTGTTTCTCAGGCGTGGGCGAGCACCTCTGTGAGCTCCCCTCCGTGGTCCTGCCCTGCGGGAGGAGGGGACGGATGTGCCCACAGGGGCGCTGCCTCTTGCACCCACACGGGCCTGACTGGTGCCCCAAGCCTCAGCCGCTCCTGGACAGTGCAGAGGCCCCGGGACCCTCACACCAGATGTGGTGAGGGTTGGACAGGCAGGTGATGCCAGTGCATGTCAGCATCTAGCCAGGAGCTGCAGGACTCCTAGCTTCTCTGGGGCTGTCCGGGCCACCACCCAGCTGAAGGGGCACTGTAGTCCAGCTGCAGGCCTAGGGGCCTCTGGGCCACACAGCTGTCCTCACAGCCAGACCCCCACTACAGTGACCCTCAGGGCTCTGACCCTCCTGTGGGGCTGGGGTTGGGACAGAAGCCTCCACCCTGAAATCAGGACTCGAGGGTAGCCACGTGGTGGGGTAGATGTTGCTGGCCCCCTAACTGCCAAGGTGCAGGCAGGGTCGTGGTGAGGTGCTGCCTCCCAGTGGGTATGGCCTTCCTGGAGTCCTGTCATCATGTGCGTAGGTTGCCCATGACCTCTGTTTCCCAGGCCAGAGTTCAAAGTCTGGAACCACATTTTCTCTGGGAGTTCGAGGTTACTGAGTGGGTGCATTCCACAAGGCACGCGGAGGCCAGACAGGGCAGGCTCGCCAAGCACACACACCAAGAGCAGCGCAGGGCCTTCCTGGCAGCTTGGGGGTTCCTTTAAGGAAGTCTCTGCTCAGCGGTGTGCTGCCCAGGGCAAGAGTCACTGCACACAGACCGCCCGCTGCGTGTGAGCGTGTGTGCGTGTGGGAGCCTGTGTTGCCCTGTGTCCCTCCACCCTCCGTGTGGCCCACCTGCTACACGAAGATTTAAGATGTTGTCTGGTATTGTACATTTGGGGAAAAGCCTTGGGTGTAAATCAGTGTAAATACAAAGGAGAGATTTTTCTATCATGTAGAGTAGGTATTTTTTATAGATTGAAGGTTGATCAATTTTTTAATACAATCCAAGAGAGAAAACTGTATACACATGAAATATATATATATATATGTATGATAATAAACACTGGAACTCTGCTTTCTGCACCCAGCCCTGCCCTGCTGCCACCAATGCATCGCCCAGCAGGACTGCAGCTGTGGGTGCAAATCGCCACGAGACATTTCACACAAACCCAGACACCCCACTTGCACACTGACCCTGTTTCTTCCGCTGGGGACTCCCAGGCGGAGTGGTGTGGCTGAGATGCAGGGGGTGAGGTTAGGATGGCCTCACCACAGGCTGAGGCCGCTGCTGCTGCACAGAGGCCAGCCCTCTCCTTCACAGGGCCCAGGGGTGTGCCTAGTGCGGCACTCCCATGGCATCGTGCGTCATCTGGGCTCAGACAGCAGACCTGCTGGCCTTGGTGCGAGCCTCCTAGGGCCCCGGGACTGCACCTTGGGTTCCTGGTGGGACACAGCCTGTGAGGCAGTACCACAGGCCCCTGGGGATCATCATGAGCCAGATGTTTTCTGAGGAGCATGGAATCGGGGATGAAGAAAAGGGACCCACGATCAGGAAGAAGGGTGGGGGTTGGGCACAGGGTTGGGTGACCTGCCAGGGAGTCACCTTGTCACAGGATGATGCCACCAGGAAGGTGCTAAGGGCAAGGAACCAGATCTGTTTTGAAGAGGATTGTTAGCTGCTAAGGTCCCCAAAACTTGGTTCCAGCCCAGGCATCCACAGGATGCATCTCCACCCACCCTGCAGAGCTGTCCGCATGCATGTCCCAGACAAACAGGCCCAGGAAGGTGGAGGATCCCACCTATAACCAACCGGCCAGGCCCGATAAGGGGCTTGAGCCCAGGGTCTGCTGGACACTCAGTCCCACTTGCTGCCCATGGGGCTGGAGCCGGCAACTGTGGATGGTTAGAGCAGGGCCTGCAGGGTCCAGCCAAAGAAGCCCAGGGGTCAGCAGGGCCAGGCCCAAGAAGTGCCTGGACACCCTGGGATAGTGTGAAATGGAAACAGAGGGTGTGCGTGTGTCTGAGGGCTGGGCTCCTGCCAGTGGCCCACTAGCTCCAGGGAAGGGCCTGGAGGAGATAGGGGTGTCAGCCTGCCACCTAACCTGCAGGCCCCACCACTGCCAAGGCTGCCCTGGGGGCCAGAAGTGCCAAACCTGGGGTTCAGGTGTGAACCCCGGGCTCCTGGTGGAGTTCTACATGGAGAGGCCGCTCAGCACTGAGTGGTGTCAAAGCTCTGCCAGCAGGTTCACATCAGCAGGGTCTGGGATAACCTTGGCCCCAGCCCAGCTGCACTGGATACCTGCCCTCCCACCAACCCCATGCCTGCAGCCCGCAGTGCCCATCTCCGCATAGGAAGAGTAGCTCGAAGAGGGTATCGGGCTTCTCTATCAGGCGAGGCCAGAGCTAGGAAGGCCCTGTACCCCACCGCAGCCTGCCTACCCCTGCCAAGCCCTGTTCTATTCCTCTCTTACACACCTGGGGCCTGTCTGCAGTCTGGCTAGCCCCTCCAACAGCAACAGCTGATGCTGAGATCCCTGCCCTGGCCTGCCAGGGGTCCCAGCCCGAAAGGGAGACTCCCCCACTTGGGACAGAATCTGTGAAATGCCCACATTAAATGGAAACAGCAAGCAGGGTTGCCTTGCAGATAGATGGTAGCTGAGGCACAGCATATTCAGAAAAGTGCTGGAGAGGCCATGCTCCCAGACCCAATTGTGCCCCCACAACTCTGAAGTGGTCCAGCCACAAGTCCCCCACACCCCCTGCCAAGGCAGGTCCTGCCAGTTTGGCTCGTGATGACAGAGCTGCTGCTTGAAACAGTCATGGTCAACCCTGCTTACTGAGCAAGTCTCTGCCCTTTCCCAGAAGGGGGCTGCTGGCAGGGGAGTGTGCTGCCCCCACCCCCGGCACTGCCTGGCCCCTCGGCTTGCCTGCCCCAGCCTCTCCAATCTAAAGGAGAGGTGCCCATCCTTGCTCCCAGCCCTGCTTCCCCAGCACATGTTCTCTCCACCTGCTGGCTGTTCAGAGACCAGGAGGCGGAGGTCCAGTGAAAGACCGACTTTTTACTTGTGAGGGCGTTGGCTGTCCGTTGACCCAGGTGTGGGCGTCCACAAATCAGTCTTTGGGTAAAAGTGACAAAGGCACACATTGCGTGTCCCACACAGATGTGTCCTGCCTGCGGCTGCGGCCCTGGCGTACCTGTCACACCAGAGTGCCTGTACCTGCATTCCACTAGAAACCCCTCCACAGGGCACTAGGGCACGTCCTGTTAACTGCTGTGTCCCAAAGCTAAGAACAGCGTGGACACGGGTCAGATTTGCTTCTCACCCCTGCCTGGGGGCTCCTGCTGCCGGGCCCTCCCACCTCTCCCCCTGCCCCAGCAGCAGCTACCTCCTGTCTCTAGCATTGTGAGGACTGTGTCCTGCAGCCGAACAGCACTGGCCACGTCTGGATGGTCAGAAGTCACTCCCCCTTCTGCTTTGTAGTTATTTAAAATTTACATCTTTGGGCCTCAGGACATCAGAGATGGTCACAAGCTGGCTCCACAGATGCGTCGCTGTCCTGCTGCTCTGGTACCCCAGCGCCTGCTGCATGTGGAACCTGCTGCTTGCAGCTCCCACCCCAGATGAGAACACCTCAACAGCCTTGAGGACTCGAGTGGTGACTGGGCTGTGCCCCATGAAGGCAGGCCTTGGCCCCTTACGGGGAAGGGCTGGGCACCCAGGCTCCGCACACTGTGCGGTCGGGAGCACCACGAGCCCTGTATCCCAAGGCAGCCTGTCACCTGGGGCACTGAGGAAGCAGCTCTGTCTTGGCCACAGCCAAGGCCCCGGCCGCCACACTGGGTCACGGGTGTCCTCGCTGTAGCACCTGGGGCCTGAACACGCTGCCAGGAACACTAAGCTGTTCCCCTGGGTCCTACGGAGGCCGTCCTGAGACAATGCACCCACCTCCCGCCCATAAACCTCCATTCCGTCTGGAGGCAGACCTGGGCCAGGCCGCACACCCCCTGAACCCCGCAGCTGACGGGCCTCGCTCCGGTGCCTCCTGTGTGGTCAGTGCCCGCCTCCTCGGGCTCCCCGTGAGCCCTGGGTCCGTGAAGCCGTGCCCTCCGTGTCCCTGCAGGCTCTCTGATGGGAAGACACTTTCCTGCCCATCTTGCCCCGGCGTGGCTGCTGGGTGCGGAGGGCGGAGGCCTGTCCTCCAGCTTCGGTGACCTCCAGAGCCCCAGCCCGAGGAGGCCGCCCTGAGGGGCCCAAAGAGGGCAGCCTGCCCCAGGAGGGGGGCTTCCCGCCTGCCAGACTCGGGCTGGCGCTCTGCGCGGCATCGCCGTGCGTCCTCCCGAGGCCCAGACGCGAGCGTCCCTCCTTCACCGACGCGGAAACCGGAGCTCAGAGCAGCGACGTGCCCGAGTCGCCCTGGGAGGGCAACGCCGGGTCTCCGCCCCACGTCTGTCCAGCCACAGCTGGAGCTCCTGACCGAGCCCTGGAGGGGAGCCGAGGCGTGAGGCAGCCGAACGAGGACGGCGGCGGAAGGACACCGGGGTCCGGCGGACCGGCAGCCGAGCGGCCCAGACCCGCGCGGGCAGCCGGAAGCGCAGCGGCCTGGCGGGCGTGGCCTCGCCCCTTCCTCCCGCGCAGGGCGCGCTGGGAGCCGTGGCGCCGGTCCTGTCGTCGGCGCGTCCCGCCGCCTCTCCGAGCCGAGCCAGCACGCAGCGTCGCCCGGAGCGCCGTCATCTCCAGCGGCCCTGGAGGGCGGGGCGGCCCGGCACGTCGGCCGGCTCCTGGAGGGCGCCCGTCGCGCCAGCGGAAGGCCGCCTCCGGGAGGACTGCAGCTCCCGGCCTGCCTCGCGAGCGGGGCACCGCCCCGAGCTTCCGGCTAGCGGCGCCGCGCGGGCCTCTGGGAGCCGTAGTCTGGGCGCCCGATTCTCAGTGCCGCGTGCGCCCCGGGCGCGCCGCAGCCGCGGGCCTGGTCGGGTGCTACGTTACGGAGGTGGCGTAGGCGGCGTCGGACGCGGGGGCGTGGGAGGGGGCGGGCGCACGGCAACGCCACTGGCGCGGGAGGCGGCAGCGGGGCCGCCCTCCGGAGGCAGAAGTTGTGGACCGGCCGGCGCAGGCGAGGGGGCCCGGGGCCGCGCCGCCCGGGCCGCGGGGATTGAGGAGGTACCGCCGGGCTGCGGAGGTGAGTTCCGCCGGCCGGGCCGGGTCGGGACCGGAGGCGTGGCCTGGATCCCCGCCGAGCCGGGCCCGCGGGCTGGGCCTCTCGGCTACTCCGGAGACGGGCCGGGCCGGGCGGGGCGGGCCGCTGCCCGAGGGTCGCCGGTGGGGACCCGGGGCGCCTGGACCGCTGAGGGACCAGCCCCAGGACGCTTCGGACCCGGAGGCGGCCGCGGCCCCGGCTGCCCTTGAGTGCCCTTACCTCCCGGCAGCGCCCAGCCGGGCGCGTTAAGGTACGTGGCCCGCGGTGCCGCACCCCCAGCGACCCCGGTGCCCACTGGCCCCCGGATTTCCCTTCCCTGCTGCCCCGGGCTGGCGCCGGAACGACGCGGAAGTTTGAAGGTGGTCCCTGGGAACGTGTGCCCGGCTGCCGGCGGATCGGCCCTTCCTGGCGCCCGCATAGGGACCTCGCGGCCCTGGCCCGGGAGCCCGCGTTGTGGCGTCAAGGGACCCCGGCCGGGCTCGCTCTCAGGGCCTCCGTAACGCCCCGGAATCTGTGACCAGACCGAGGCTACGAACCCGAGAGAGACGCCTGGGAGTTTGGGGTCCCGTAGGCCCCGGCGTTCTGTGGGGAGAGCGGGCTTAGCTGGGTGCTGAGTGCGGTCCGTGCCCCTCCCGAGAGCCCCTCCTTCGGGGGTCCCCGGGCTGTGGGAGGAGGTGGGGGGGCTCCATTCCCCCACACCTGAGCGGTTCTCTCAAAGGGGGAGAGAGAGCTTCCCCGGCCCAAGTCACAGAGGGAGGACCCCCGACGGACAGGGGACCTGGGCGTCCCTGCAGGGGCCCGGCCCAGGAAGCAGCCTTGCAGGAAGCCCGCGCAGCCTGGCCTTGGGGTGGAGCGGGTCTTACTTCCTCTCAGCCCAGTCTCCCGGGCGGAGCACCCCTCTTCCCCCTTCCCATCTGAGCCTGAGTATCTCTGGAGCTTGTTCCCCTGGACAGATGGACCTCTGACCTCGTGACCCGAGAGCCAAGTTTTAGCACCCCTGGGCCCGAGGCTCAGGGACCTCGAGGATGGAGAGGGACCTACAGCCGCGGGGCTTGGGTCTGCTCAGACAGTGCACTCCGAGAGCAGGACGTGGCCAGACCCTCAACCCTGCCCTGGTGGCGGCGCCTCTGCCCCACTCGCGTCCCTCCGCCCTTCACCAGAGAGGCCAGGCCTTACATTTGCTGGGCCTCGCTGCAAGCTCTCCCGGCCTGTCGCATGGGCAGCACCCTGGTGAAGCCCCGCTTTGCAGAGGAGAGACCGGGGCCAAAGGGCGGCAGCTGAGGCTACATGTGCGGGTCTGTGTCCTGAAAGTCGTCTCTTCTACCTCATAACACCGCCTGCTGTGTTTGTCTTATTCGTTGGAAAGAAGGATCCTGCTGCCTAGAAATCCTTGAAAACTACAGATATTGTTCATGGGCTTGAGCTGAAGAGGTGGCCATGGTCATGGCCGTTCTGGGTAGAGCAGGCTCGAGGGGCAGCCAGTTCCTCATCCTGCTCTCCTCTCCTGCCTGGGCTGCACGGACACTCCTCATGCTCTGTACCTTTGGTGCTGCCTTGCGCCCCGTTTTGCAGTGCCCAGCACCTCTGGGAATGTCCCAGAGCAGGAATGTGATCACGTTTTTCACCTGACTTCTGCCAGACTTGGCACAGATGCAGGTTCCCCTGCCTTCCCTACTTCCCACTCTGCTAAAAAAGTCTGGGAGTTCTGCTGAGACTGACACCTGGCATCATCCCGTCAAGCTGACCCTCGGTGGGTGCCCAGCACCATCCCATCCATGCTGAGCAAGTGTCAGTGAGCATGCTCTCTCAGCTGTTCCCACAGGCAGCTTTGGTCACCCTGGCTCTGAAGTTCAAGGGAAGCAGCCCGGGTTGGCACCCCCCAGCTCTGGGGGGTCAGGAGTGGACTCCCCGGCTCCTCTCAATGAACTGGAAGGAAGCCGCGGGTTGATGTTGGTCTCCTCCACCTCTCCGGCTTGGAGACCTGCCCTGCCACCCTGTGTTGCTCAGTGGGTCACATCACTGCTCAAGAGCCAGGGGCTGTGGAGGACAGAGGGGTGTCCTAGCCCAGTGCAGAGACCCCATGAGGGGCAGCACGGGGCCTCCTGATGCTGCAGGAGGGGCCACGGGAGGGAAGATAGTGATGCACCATCACCCCAGTGACACCAGGGGTGAGTTCACAGGAGCCCCAGGCACGTGTGTAGGGCTTGGGCTCCCTCCCATCCTAGCAAATGGCATCACGCCTCAGCAGCTCCCTAGTGGATGGCGCTGCAGGGCATCAGGAGGAAAACAGGTGGATATCTGTTCTGGGCAGCGGCCCGGCGTGTCTGCGTCTGGAGGAAGGCTGTGTCATGGCTTCCTGCTCGCCCATCTCCATGCACGCAAACCTGAAGCAGGGGATTCTGCCTCACACTGACTACCTCCACGCCCAAGCTTCTCAAGAAAGTCACCCTTTGGAATTAAATACACCTTGACTCTCTAGGGCCTGCTGCCCATCGCCAGTTCCTCTCCTCTCCACATTTTAGCAAGAAAGGCGGCATGTTCTGGAGCTTTCTGGGACCTGGCTATTCCTAAAGAGGGGGCTACAGAGAGGCCTGAGCTTGTGAGGCCCAAGCCACATGGCTCCCCTGACTACTGTCTGCCTCCCTTTGGGGCAAACTGAAGGCCCTGTGTCCCCCGTGAAACCTGTTTTATGAGGTGAGAGGTCACCAGGCTGCTCCACCACCACTTGGCATACAGAAGTGCCAAAAATCGAGAGTGCCCGTCGGTGCTTTTCTCTTACTGCTAGAAGTAGTAATCACCGTTAAATGGGATGGGATCTGGGGGCTGGAAGCAAATCCCCAGAGTGCATGTCTCAGCTGGCTCCCAGCTGCCTGGTCCAAGGCCCCTGGCCATTCCTGGGCCATCGAGGTTTCCCTGACAACACCATCCTAGAGAACAACTTCCTTTTTCATGACCAACTGAGGTGGCGTATGACTCCAAAGACGAGGAAGGGCAAGGAGTGAACCCACTCCCCTGGAGGCAGCCCTGGGACCCTCATGAGCTCCTCAGGGTTGCGAGTGGTTCTGAGAGGCCCACCTCTGCTCCCGCCCTGAAGGGGAGGCCTTGGACATGGAGCAAGTCCAGCCATGGGCACCGGCCATTTGGGACCAGGGTCAGCAGGCAACTCAGTGGCGAGGAGCCCAGCACGTGACCAAGAAGGGCCACTGCCTCAAGGCACGTGTGGAAGGGCGACGTGGAGCTGGGCGCGTCTCTTCTCGAGCTGACAGGAAGTGCTGGGTGCACTTGGACCCTGCCTTTTGGCGCTGTGCCTGGCTCTCGGGTGGTTTGGGGCGACCTTCAGCAGAGCCTTCCCAGCCCGCCTGTCAGGTCCGCACTGTCAGGTGTTTGCTCCACTGGGCTGGCCCAGCAGGCAACAGATGGCCGGGCTCTGTTCTCCTGAGGGTGACGGTGAGTGAGTGGAAGCAGCCCTAACCCAGGAGGGACACGTGGGATGCGAGTGCACCCCCTCCCCGAGGCCACATAGGAAGCAGAGCACCTGGCCCGTAGCAGTGGCTGCTGCCCTGGCAGGTGGCGCCCGGCCTGGGCCCAGGTGTGTCTCTCTGGCTGCCAAGCTGCCTGCCCAGTGTCCTGTCCCACTTGGGCACCTCTCCCTCACAGCCCCACATGGGCAGGAGGCCTGTCCTCTGGGCCCTAGGGTTTTGAACAACCCCATCTGCTGCCCTCGATGGCCCAGGAATGGCCAGGGGCCTTGGACCAGACAGTTGGCAGCCAGCTGAGACAAGCCACATCACATGTGCCTCGAGCCTCCTCCAAGTGAGGGGCAGATACAGCTTCCAAAGTGATGAAGCCCCAGGCCACCTTCCAGGGAGTGTTCCCAGGGCAACCAAGGGTCATTCCTTGTGCAAGCCCGTATGTGCAGACAAGGGACAGCCTTCAGCATGGCCCTGGCCTGTGCCGCGACCCAGACCCCACTGCTGACAGAGCCGCTTGTTGTGGCCTTGCCCGTGCCAGGCAACTGGGACTTGGCCATGGGCTTGTCATTCCTGGGAGCCCTGCAAGGCCGATAACAGGGTCTCACCAGGCCCTGTCTGCCATCGCTTTGGTGTTGCCTCCAGGTGGAACCCTCAGGTCCCCGAGGGCCCATCCCTGACCCTGGGCCTTGCTGTTCCCCCACCCCCAGGGGAATGGGCTGGTGAGCTGCCTGAGCCCCAGGGCTGCAGGGCAATGCTGCTCTTACTGTCCTGGGGTGGGAGCTGGGAGTCGGCCCCCTGCAGGCAGGAGCTTCACTTCCTCAGCATCTGCCCAGGCTGCAGCCCCCAAGCAGGCATGGGCTGGGGCACAGGCCATGGCTCTTTGCATGTCCCCGTCTCAGGGCTGATCTCAGGGGCCTGCTGGGGTTACTGTGGCTCGTGAATGCACCATTTGTACAAGATAGGAGATGGGTCTTCAGTAAGGCCTAGTGAGGCTTGCCCTGAGCGTGCGTGGTCAGGACCCACCCAGGGAGAATCAGCCGGTGGGAGTGTGTGCAGTGTGGGCAAGGACACGGGCGCCGTGTGCGTGAGGGGGGCGTCGGACAAGGTCAGCACTGCATGTCCGCGAAGCCCAGCATGTCACGCGGGACTCAGGCACCCTGTGCGTGTGCCCCATGGGCTAGCACTGGGGACAGCCCGTGCTGCCAGCCCTGCGCAGAACGGTCCCGGGCACGTGGAGCTTCCACCCCTCTGGCCCGGTGCGGGCCTGGGGTGCAGCTCACCCCGTCTTCTCTGCGGCCTTCTCCTGCCTACAGGCTTCTTAGCTCACAGGCCACAGTCGCCCCCCCTGGGCATCAGCACACCCCATCCCTGCCAGGTCATCTCCTTGCTGGTGGAAGCTACTCACCTGCCACCCGCAGGGAAGTGCCCACCAGGCCCGTGACCCTGTGACTCAGCACCTGCCCCGGAGGGCACGTGAGGTGGCATGTCGCCGCTGGGCCCCACCTGCTGTGACTGAGAAAGGTGTGCCCCATGCAGGGCACCGAGGAGGGGTCCATTCATCTGGCCCTGCATGCCCCCGTCATTCTGAGGGCCAGTCCCCAGCTGTCCTGAGTGTCATGCTGGGCACACACCTCACTGGGCTGGGGGACGGGCCTGCCAGCCCCTGCTGATTGGCACCTTGTCCTTTGGGGCAGTGGCAGATACAGGCCACTGTCCCGTTTAAATGTAGGGCAGCCGTTCCCAAATGACGGCAGGGAGGAGCTGGCATGGGCTGGGGGCCACGGGCAGTGCTTCGTCCTGAGATGCTACGCCTCAGCGCCAGGCCCCTTCCCCCAACCCAGGAGACTGGCAGTGCCCTCATCCACTCTGGCTTATGCCAGAGACTAAAGGACGTGCTCCTCTTAAGGCACAACCTCCGAACCCCATGGGCAGGGCTGCTGCCACATCCAGGCACGTACAGCTGCCTGGCCGGGCTGGGGCCTGGTGGGTGTCCACTGGTCAGGGGGGCAGCGTGCAGGCAGGCGGGATCAGCATCCATGTGCACTTGTCCAGGGGAGGAGCCACCCCGGGGCCCTGCGGGAGAAGAGGGCAGATCCAGGCCTGTCGCCTAGCATGTGGTTTGCCGCGTCTGCAGCTCTGACTCAGGGCACAGCCTGGGGGCAGCACTGACCAATCCCGGCCCTTTGGTTCTGCGGTGAGGCCAGCATGGGTGCTTGGCGGGCACGAACCGGTGGTCATGTGCTGGGGGCCCCTGCTGTGCCAGTGGCTGGCCAAGCGCCTTGCCCAGCCAGGGCACTGCTCCGCGTGGTCTTATTCCCAGGGGCTCTTCACCATTCCCAGTGGGTGTGCAGGGGTTGGGGTGCCCTCATCCCTGGGATTCCCTCTCCGCCCTTTCCAGCCACCTCCTGTCGGCCCCTCCTCTCCCAGAAGAGGCTGAGACCCTGCCGTAGGCCCACCCCCACGGGCCTCTGGCTGCCCTAAGTGGAATCCATGGGGCCAGTTCCCCCTGCCTGTCGGGGGCGGGTGCATGCAGCTGCTTCGGGGCTCTGTGCCACGTGCTCTGCCCACATGCAGAGGCAGGGCCTGGCGGCCACCACAACATCACTAATTCAAGCCCCACAGCTGAGGGCCTACTTAGGGCGTTGGTGGAGAGCAGGCGGGTCTTTGGGGGAGCTCGTGCTCTGCGCAGCGCCAGGCCCTTGGGGCCAGCAGGTTTCCCCAGAGGCTCAGAGCCATGTCCTCACTGCACTGGGGCAGCGTCACCCTCAGCTCTGCCTGCGTCAGACTGCCAGGTGCTGGCCCCGACTACAGCCAGCCCTGTCTGCCCCCTACCCGTCCTCCACCCTCACGGTGGACACAGCCAGAGCTCTTGCTGAGGACAGACCGGCTCTGGGCCCTCTCAGGAGCGGGTCTCTGTGGGCGCCTCCTTTGGGCGTGATCCGACTCAAGCCCTCCCCTGCCCTGCCCTTGACCTGTCGGGATCTGCCTGTGAGAGGGGAGTGGACCCTTTTCCCATGAGGGGCTCTGCTGTGGAGTAGGGTTCTGTTGTCCAGCCGTAATCACGAGCGAGGCCGGCGTCTTGAGTGACCCCCAGTTGTGGGCGTCAGCCAGCAGTGCTGTGGCGTTGCCTGGAGACTGCTGACCCCAGGGTGTGGCCTGTCCACGAAGCTCACATGTGGATCTGTCTCACTTTCACGTGGCACAGTGCTGTTCTGGGTGTGCTGGGTTCTGTAAGGTGTGTGACTGAAACTGGTTTGACCTGACCTCTGCCACGGGCTGTGCAAGAATGGCTCCCACTGGGTGGCAGACAGCCCTTTGCGGTCTCGGGTCTCTGGCCCGCGCTGGGGCAGACCTGACGGGATGCTTGCAGGGCCACCCAACCAGTCAGGGCCGGCTCTGCCCTGCCCCACCCGCCCCACACCCCAGGAGGCCCACCGGGCAGATTCCACTGTAGCATGGCTGCTCTTAGGGCGCAGGGGCCCAGGCTTCCGTCCTGTGGCCACTCTCCGGCGCAGGGCAGGGAGCCCCACACGTACCCTGGGTGTGGCGTGGTCCACGTGTCAGGAAGAGTCAGGGTCCCCCAGCCCCAGGTCCCTGCGGCTATTGGAAGTTGGCGTGGGCGACACAGACCCGCGGGTGGGCGGGTATCTTCCCCGAACCCGACGGTCCCCTGCCTGCAGCCTGGCCAGTCCCCCAGCTCCCTCCTGGTCGCCCACTGCCTCTGGCCCGGGAGCCCCTTTTCCTCCAGAAGCGCCCGTGGGGGCCGTGCTCTGGCAGGAGAGCCGTGTCAGCCCTGCTGCGCCTGCTTCTGCGCTTTCCTTCTTCAGCTTAATGTCCCCCAAATCAGATCATCTCTTTCTCACTGAGGGCTGAGCCACACCCCAAAAGCCAGCAGCTGGTGACACGGCCGGCCTTCCCTGTGGCTCTCAGGAGTGGGGGAAGTCGGAGCAGGGCAGGGGTTGCCTGTGACCCCAGTCCTGGCCCTGCGTGTGTCATGCCCTGGTGGGTGGGTGCTCGGCACCCGCCCCAGCTCCCCTCCAGCTGGTCCTGAGGCCTCGTGAGCGCTGGGGCCCCAGGCTTGGGGCCTTGTTCCTGTGAGTCATGCTGTCCTCTCTCTTCTTTTCTGTCTATGTCTATGTGCCTGACCAGCCCGGCCACCCCGTCTCCCGTGTGGGCACTGCCCTGTCTCCATGCTCCGCCTCGCCTTCTACCGGCCGCGTGTGACCAGGCCCGGCTCTCAGCACGGCCGCTGCGGGGGCCATGGGGAGCTCTGCCTCCTCGCTGGCCACCGAGACAGAGTCGGACCACGGCTTCCCTGGGGGGCCTCCCTACCCGGGGCCTCCGGCAGCTGCCAGCTGGTGTAGGAGCGGCCCTGGGGTGCCTGTCTGGGGCGGCACACTGGTCACCCGGCAGCACCTGCCCCCACGCCCTCGGGCCCGAAGGTAAGAAGGGGAGGAGGCCCCGGGAGTCTGCAGAGCAGTGTGCGACTGTGTCAGGGTGCCCCCTCCTCAGCAGGGAAGCAGGGTCCCTTCTCTGCTGCTTCTTCTGGCGACTCTCTCCAGGCTGCTGCGTCCTGGGAGGCTTGGCTGGCTGGCTGGCTGGCTGGAGGCGGTTGGAAGGCACGTGCAGCCTGCCTGCGGGGCTGGGGCCGGCCGGTTCTGGTGCCAGAGCGGCTGCTTGCTTGGGAGTGAGGGGTGCTGCTGGTGCTGGTCCCACGTGCTGAGAATGCTGGCTGGGCCCCCACCAGGATCTCGGGGCCCCTCTGTACTGTCCTGCCCTGCTGGCCTGGGGCTGTGCGGCAGATCACGTGCTGGCTGCCTGCTGCTGCAGTGGCACCATGCTCACCCGGGCCTCCGAGCCCAGGCTGTCTGCTGGATCGCAGGAGAGCCTCCCTCAGGGGTGCTGGGCTGACTGGCGGGGGGCGCTGCTCAGGCCTGGGTGGGTCGGGCCTTCCTTCACGCACCCTGTGCCTCACTAGATGGAGGGGCACTGGGGCTGTGGGCCTCAGGGGCACCCAGTCCTGGGTCTGGGGGGTCCAGGCACCCTCTCCCTCCCAAAGGCACCTGCTGGGCTGGGCTCAGAGGTCACTTCCCTAGGGCACAGCTCCATTGTGTGAGGTAGTTCTTGGTATCTGTGTGCCCCGGGCATGTCCTGGGTCAGCGGGCAGCAGGGGGGATGTTGGGGTGGTGATGGAGCTGAGGTACCAGTGGGAGAAGTTAGTGTGGCCCTTGGGCACCTGGGGTCCCTCCCACCCCAGACAGCCCTTGCTTCCGTGCAGACAAGTCACGTGGTGCATCTTCCCTGTGTCGGGCCTCTGTCACTGCGTGTCATGCAGAGCGCGTCCCCTCATGGCTGAGTCTCAGCTCATCATGTGGACGGCCCACATTCTGGTTATCCGCCCCGGAGTCACTGGGCATCCGGTTTGTCTCCGCTTGGTGTTCTGGGTCATGCTGCTGGACCGGTCCCTACAAGTTTTGTGTGGACGTGTTTCTCTCCCTCTTGGGTCAAGCCCTAGAGTGCAGCTGCTGGGGTTCGGTTCCGGGAGTCTGACTTCTGAGCAGGTGTCGGCCGCACCATCTTGCCATCCCTCCCCACGTGGCAGCAGGTCTCCCTGCCCCTTGACGCTGGACATCCGAGTGGGGGTTGGGCCTCACTGGGGTTTGGCTTGTATTTCCTAGCGTTCGTGATGCTGAGTGCCTTTTGTGTTTTGACCCACTGCGTGTCTTACTTCTATTTATTCTTTGGGGCAGATGGCTCGGAGTAGTTACTGGGTTCCCGGGAGGGACGCTGAGTGGCAGCTAAGCTGAGACCCTGTGGGGTTTGCCAGGCGGCCCCCTCCTCGGAGGCGTGCTGAGCACTCCGAGGCCATGTGTGTGTAGACTTCGGATCTGGGCACAGGCCGCCAAGTCAGTTTCCTGGTGACCTTCGCCCTCTCTCATTCTCTGGAGCTCTTGCCAGGCTCCTCCCAGCAGGGCATTGAGCAGCGGCCTCCCTTCGTGCCCTGCAGTTAGGCCCAGACCTCACGCAGTTCCCATCTGCCACTGGGAGCAGTGGAAATCCCAGGCCAGGGATGAGAAGGGAGGGTGGGGAGTTAGCCAGCAGGTGTCAGGAAGAGGGCAGAGGCTGGTGGCCACGTGGCCCCAAAGGACAACTCCCGTGTACACCCAGCACGTGTACACACACATGTAGCACTCTGTCACAGTCTGGGGACAGCAAGTGTGTGCACAGGGGACAGTCCTCTGGACCCTTCCCCCACTCTGCTGGGGCCTTGGGACGGACAGCAGCCCCCACTGCACACTGAAGAGCCTCTAGGCATGCCACCTTCTTGGCCAGGACCACCCGTTTGCACCCGTTGCCCTAAGGAAGCCAGGAGAGCCGGGGTGGCCAGCCAGGCTGGGGCAGGAGCTGCCAGGCCGTGGCCCAGGGGCTACTGTCTTTAATCAGTAGGGATCCACATCAACATCACACCCACAGGCTCTGGGCCTCCCCTGGGGACACACAGACGAGGAGGAGGACAAGCTGGCTGAGGGTGACCTCGGAGGCAGGCAACCCTCCTTGCAACTGGCGGTACGTCCAGACTTCCTGCGTGGCCTACCCAGCACCCCATCCTCAGACCCGCTGGCTTGACTGAGGTCTTCATGTGTGGACACCCAAATATTCCTCGGTTCTCCTGGGGAGGCAGATGCGGTCCCCAGGCCAGGCTGCACCCTGTGGTGGACAGGCCATGTCCATGTTCCTGCAAACACGCATGTCCACAGCACACAGGACTTGCAGTATGCCTGAGAGCAACCCCATAGCCTCCCTCTTGAATTGAATGGAGTGCTGGCCACTCCCAAGGTAACTGGGGGAAAGCGGGTACTAGGTGTCAGCTTTGTCCAGACAGTGGCCTCGGTGTGCCGCTCGCCTCAGCCTTTCTGTTGTGAGGAGTGACGCAGTTGCCTTCTAAGAGCAGCCCGTTTCCTCCCAAGGTGTGACCGGTCTGTGCCCCGGAATAGGGGCTTGTCTCCGTGAGTGCCGTGTGACCTGGGAGCCTCTCAAATCGCGTTTCTGGTCTGATCTGGGTTCCTGGTGCCAGTGTCTTACCTGCAGGCTGTTTGGTGGTCTGGCTTCATCGAGTGTCTGCTGAACACTTGGCTTCCACAGCATGTTGGGGTGGCCAAGGGAGGTGCGTGCCCCTGCTCAGGCCTTCTCTGGTCACTAGGTCACTGACCCCCAGCCCTGCCACCTGCCCTGGGAGCCCTGTGGCTGCGCCGCCACCACCGTTCCTGGGGGCCTCCTTCTAGCCGAGTGGCTGCTGGTTCTGCCCTGTCTGGCCACAGGGCTAAGTTTCGTTTGTATGCCTGGTTCATTTAAACCTTTTGTAAGCTCCAGACACTCTTCCTGAGGTGCGTTGTCCGCCAGCACGGCTGAGAGAACTGCCATGTCTCGCCGGTGTCCTTGGGTGCTGGCCAGGACCAGTGGACGCTATGTCTTCTGTTCATCCAGGCTCTAGCCAGGGACTGGCCAGCTGGTGGGCACGAGGCTGAACGGGCCTTGGGCTCCCTCCTTGCTTAGTGCATCTGGGACCACCAGGGGCCTGGAGCTGAGGGTGGGTGTGGCTTAGGAGGGCCATAGGCCACCTTTCCTGGGGGACGCAGGGGCCTAAGTCTTCTGTCTGGAGACCCCTGTCAGGCACAGGTGGTCTGAGTGGCCCGACCAGCTCTTCAGTCCCCAGAGTCTGGGGCTGGGGTGGCGGCTGCCCAGGACCCAGCGTGTGCATGCACATGCCCGTGGGCTCGCGCTGTGCCCCACACCTTGACTGGTGGGGGGGGGGTACTGGTTGTCTCTAGGCCAATTTCAGGAAGCCAAGGCCAAAGCTGACCTGGCACCGCCCCCTGTAGGCAAGGTTGTGGGCAGTTGTGAGCCTTGGCCGCTTGTGCTGAGAAGGCGGCGTCACAGTGTTTGCTCTGTGCCCTGGGAAACGATCTCATTGCTCAAGGGGTTTTTTTTTTGTGAAGAGGAACTTTTTTTCATCCTGAACCTGAAGGGTTTGGCACAAACATAGCATTAGATGTGCAAACTTCATGCCTTTTTGTACAGAACAGTTGATTCTTCTGCCAGGCGGAACAGCGGTAGCAGTGCAGGAGACAGCCCCTCGCACCTAGATGGGCCCTGGAGAGGCAGGCTGAGGGGGCAGCCCAGACCCACCCAGACCCAGCCCAGCTCGGGCAGGGGGAACCGGAGCTCCCCTCCTGGACTGCAGGCCTGCGCGCCATTCTTCTGCACCCCAAGGAGCAGAGGCCCAGCGAGGAGAAGGCGGGGAGGCCAGTGCCTGAGAGCCCACCAGCAAGGGGCTGTGTCCCACAGCTCCCAGCAGCGCAGGGGCCCCTGGGAGGGTGGTCTGCGTGCCAGCAGCGGGGTCCTGGGAGCCAGGCACCCTCCACGTGCCCCCACCGCCACCCTGCCACAGGCTTGGCGACACGGGAAGTGCCACATCCGTGGCGGCACGCCTGGAATGCAGGAACCTGTGTTCCAGGCCTAGGGCCAGAGGGTCTGCTGAGCGCCGGGAGTGCAGACTCCTCAGCAGACTCTGTGTGCTCCAAACATGCAGCCAGAGGCCCTCTGGGCCTGGGGCCTGCTGCAGGAGGGCAGGGGCCTGCCGCCTGGGTCTTTCCCACAGCTTCAGGTCAGGCTGCTCAGGACACAGTGGTGCCAGTGGTGGCATGCCCCGTCTCCCACCTTCCCAGGCTGGGCAGCCCACCTGCGGCCCCGCACAGCCCCGTGAGTTGCCAGATGCAGAGTTGGTCTTCCCTGCCATGGCCCCCTGCACCCCAAGCTGAGCGCCATGAGAGGGCAGGGTTTGTGTGTCGCTGTGCTCTGAGCCCCACCTGGCAGGGCTGGGTCTGCAGGGCCTGACAGCAGTGGGCTGGTAAGTGGAGTGTGCCCAGCCCCCACAGAGCGGGCCATGCCGCCTTGACTAGGGCCCAGGGACTGGGTTGTCAGCCAGACTACTGGGGTAGCTGGAGTTGGTCAGTCCTGGGGCCTTGGCACAGGGCCAGGAGGGCTTTGGGGCTGAGCCTTTGTCCTTGGCTGGGAGGACTGTCCCCAGTGGGCACATCAGAGCTGGCCCCTGTCAAGTTCCCAGAAACACTAAAATGAGAGGCAGCTGGGCTAGGGAACCCTGCAGGTGACCCTGAGTCAAGGGACCCCTACCACATGCTGCGGGGGCCATCCATGGCCTTGCCCTTCCCTGTGCCCATGCTGTTTTTGAGATGAAATTCACTTAACATAAAACTGATTCAAAGTGAATGCTTTAGTGCATTTAGTCCATTTGTGTCATGGTACAACCGTCACCTTTGCCTAGTTCCAGAACATTCTCACCTCCCCAGAAGCCCTGTGCTCCTCAGCCCTGGGGACCACCAGGCTGCTTCCTGCCCCCATGCATGTGCCTGTGCTGACGCTCTGTGTCGGTGGGGTCCGTGCTGGTGGCCTTTTGTTTCTGGCTTTTCACTTCACACGTTTTCAAGGTTCATCCACAATGTATGTATCCTAATTTTTTATTTTTGTGGCTGAATAATACTCCACATTTCTTTTATCCCTTTATTCACGGATGGGCATTTGGGTTTGAACCTTTGGAGGGTTGTAAGTAGATCTGTACCAATGTGAGTGTGAGTGAGAATGCTAGTTCTGAGTTCTTTGGGGTCTGACCCAAGGGCGGGAGGGCTGGTCATTATGGCAGCTCTGAGCACCTGCCAGGCCAGTTTCCGAAGCGGATGTGCAGTCCCACATTCCCACCGGGAGTGGAGGGAGGGCCCCAGCTCCCCACACCCTTGCCAGCGCTGGTCATCATCTGCACTTTGATTCTGGCCATCCCAGTGGGTGTGAGGGTCTGTCTCGTGGTTCGATTTGCATTTCCCTGATGGCTGGTGATGTGGAGCATGTTTCATGTGCTTACTCACCATGTTTTCCTTGAGAGGAATGTCTGTTCAAGTCCCCTGCCCATTTTGAACCAGGTGGTTTGTCTTTCATTGAGTCGTAGGCATTCTTTATATATTCTGGATATGAGACTTTTATTAGATGCATGATTGGCAAGTATTCTCCCCCAGTCTAGTGGTCCTCTTTCCCCTTTCTCAGTAACGTCCTTTAAAGCATGGGCATTACTAATTTTGGTGAAGTCTGATTTTTTCTCCATCTGCCTGTGCTTCTGGTGTCATATCTAGTAGTCTATCACTAAATTCAAGGTCATGAAATTTCACCTGTTTTCTTCTAAGAGTTTTATAGTTTTGCTCCTACATTTAAGTCATTGATCTATTTTAATTTCTGAGTATGGTGTGAGGTAGGGGTGTAGCTTCATTCTTTAGTGTTTACATCCGTGTGTTGATTGGCCTTTCGCCCCAAATGGTCTCAGCACCCTTATCAAAAGTCACTTGATCACATCACTTCATGTTTATTTCTGGCCTCTGGATTCTATTCCATTCGTCATAGATGCCTGTACCATACTGTCGTGATTTTTTTTCTTCTTTTTCAAAATTGTTTTGCTAGTTTGGCTGGGGGACTTTCAGTTTGGATTTTTGAATCAGCTTTTTTCCACCCCTGAAAAAACAAGAAACAAAGGCCGTTGGGATTTCGATAGGGACTGCACTGGATCAGTAACCCCTGATCAGGGTGGTGCTGTCGCCATGACTACGTGAGGTCTGATCCGTGAGCATGGGATGTCTTTCCATTTATTTAGGTGTTCTTTAATTTTTATCAGCAATGTTCTGTAGTTTTCAGAGTATAAGTCTTTCACCTTAGTTAAATTTATTTTCAGGTGTTATATTATTTTGGATGTCTTGGTGAGTGGTATTGCTTTCCCGCCTCCTTTTCAGACTGCTGCTTGCTGGCATAGAAACACAACTCATGTCTGCCTGTTGACCCTGTGCCCTGCAGCTTTGCTGAATTCATTCATTAGCTCCAGTAGGTTTTTTGTGGATTCTTGGGGTTTTCTATATGTAGGATCATGTCATCTGCAAATAGAGGTAATTTTGTGTCTTCCTTTCCAATTGGATGCCTTTTGCCTCTCCTGCCTGGTTGCCCGGCTGGAACACCAGCACGGTGCTGCCAGGCAGTGCTGAGCCCCTGGTCCCGAGGGAGGCAGCCAGGCTGTCAGCCCTAGTGTTCGCTGTGGGTTTCTGCAGATGCCTTGATTCTGTTGAGGGTCACTTACTGTGTCCTGAACTCATCAGGGCCCACCTCCGCATCAGGGCCCCGTGTCCACTTCCGGAAGGGGCAGGGGACAGAGCCGCGGAGGCCTCTCCCTTCTGAGTCCTCGAGCTACTCGTAGGCTGCCTGCTGGGACCTGACATCTCACAGCCCAGAGGGCGCAGGTCCCACCAGCCTGACACCCTGTCTCAGGCAGAGACTGGGCCCCATCCTGTGCGCCCGCCGTGACCAGGGCCTTGCCTTTCAGCCACACGCGCTCGTCCGGGCCCATGGCCGCGGCTGGAGAGTGGTCCTGCACGCGCTGCACCTTTCTGAACCCGGCCAGCCGGCGCCAGTGCTCCATCTGCGAGGCTCCTCGGCACAAGCCTGACCTTGAGCAGATCCTGCGGCTCAGTGTGGAGGAGCAGAAATGGCCTTGTGCCCGCTGCACGTTCCGCAACCTTCTGGGCACAGGGGCCTGCGAGGTGTGTGGCTTTGCCCCAGAGCCCGTGTCCGGCACTTCCCCACTGCCTGTCATCAACGGGGTCCAGCCCAAGCCACCCGCTGTCCTGGTGGAGCCCAAGGGCAGCTGCAAGGAAGAAGCAGGTCCTGTGCAGACAGCGGGGCTGGCAGCCCTGGAGCCAGCCAGGGGGCAGCCCGAGGAGGAGAAGGGGGCAGCAGAGCCCGGGGGTGGCTGGGCCTGCCAGCGCTGCACGCTGCACAACACGCCTGTGGCCAGCTCCTGCTCTGCCTGTGGGGGCCCCCGGAAACTCTCGCTGCCCAGGATTCCTCCTGAGGCCCTGGTAGTCCCTGAAGTTGTGGCCCCTGCAGGCTTCCATGTCATCCCTGCCCCACCCCAGTCTGGGGAGGGCATGGAAGCCGACCCTCCCTCTGCCACTGACCAGGAGCCCCCCCGAGTACCGTCCTTCAGCCCTTTCTCACCCACCCTGCAGAACAACCCTGTGCCTCGCAGCCGCCGCGAGGTCCCCCCCCAGCTGCAGCCACCTGTGCCTGAGGCCGCCAAGCCCTCATCCTCTGCAGGCCCCAAGGGGACCCCGCAGGGCCTGGGGCCAATGGCAGCCGGGGCCCCCTGCCTGGCAGAGCTTCTGTCAAGCAAGCGGCTGAGCATGCTGGAGGAGGAGGCGCCCCAGGCCAGCCCCACGCTGCGTCGGTGCAGCTCCTGCTCCGCACCCAGCCCCGGGAGCCCTGCCTGCTGTGGAGCCTGCGGCGCCTCGCCGGGCAGCGATGCCATTGACCTGGCCGGCGACACGGTGCGCTACACACCAGCCAGCCCTTCCAGTCCCGACTTCACCACCTGGTCCTGCGCCAAGTGCACCCTCAAGAACCCCACTGTGGCGCCCAGGTGCACAGCGTGTGGCTGCTGCAAGCTGCATGGCTTCCAGGAGCACTGTGAACCCCCTGCCCGCTGTCCGGATGGCAGCGCCGACAAGCCCGGCCCCTGCCCTGCCCACAAGGCCAGCAGCCTGTTCCCCACAGCACCGGACCGCATGGGCCAGTGGGCGTGCCCCGCCTGCACTCTGCTCAACGCGCCGCGTGCCAAGCACTGTGCTGCCTGCCACACGCCCCAAGTGCTGGTGGCCCAGTGCCGGGGAGCCGCGCCCCTGAGGCGCAGGGCGAGCGTGCACGTGGAGAAGCGGAGGCAGACGGACGAGGGCGAGGCCACCGCACTCTGGGAGAGCATCGTGGCCTTCTGCCGCGAGGTGAGGCGGGGCAGCTGCTTCCGCGGCTCCTTGTCCCCCCCACCCCCCAAAGGCCCCCCCTGCTTCCTCTGCCTTCACTGCTGTCCCTTCCCAGCAGGGCGGGGCTGGGGGGCCTGTGGTGAGGGGGCGCCACCCTCTGAAGGTGGGCCGGGACACCGACTTGCCCTTCACCTCACCGTGACCAGTCGCACTTGCTCCTTCACTGTGCCCGTGAGCATCCCTGACCCCCTCAGGCGTGATTTCCCACAGACGGAGAAGCTGCGGGGAGGCCTTGTGCCAAGATGCAGACCTGCCGAAACAGCGGGGACACACTCTCGTGCCCCTCTGCTGGTGGGGCTGTGGCCCGGTCCAGCGTGGCACCACCCCTGCAGCAGCTGGAGGGGTATCTGCTACCCGCCAGTCTGTCCAGAGGCTTGTATCCTGGCTTCTGTCCCAGCCAGGCCTCCCCTTCTATCCTGGAGCCACCCAGGTTCCCTGCACCCCACACCCGCCATCCCGTGGCCTCCAGGCTGGTGGCCACATAGTTCCCCCAGGGCACACCTCCCACAGAACCATTGCTGGCCTACACAATCTGGCTGGCTACGGTTCCCCCAGCCATCATGGGTCACATGAGGCCCAGCTGAGCCCTCCACACGGGTCAGGGCAGCTGTGCACATACCCACCCCTTCCTTCTGGGTCTGAGGCAGCATCTCAGCACTCCCCTGGGCAGTGGGTCCGGTCTAGCCAGGGGAAGGGAGGCGCGGCCGGACCTGGGCCTCCCAGCCCGGTCTGAGTGTGGCCACGCTCTCTGCAGAACAGCGTGAACTTTGTGGATGACAGCTTCCCCCCCGGGCCCGAGTCTGTAGGCTTCCCTGCGGGTGACGGCGTCCAGCAGCGTGTGCGACAGTGGCTTCGGCCACACGAGATCAACTGCTCTGTCTTCAGGGACCATGGAACCTCGTGGTCTGTGTTCCACACTCTCCGGCCCTCAGACATCCTGCAGGGGCTGCTCGGGAATTGCTGGTGAGTGTCAGGTGCTTGCAGAGGGGCTTGCGTGGACATTCTGGCATGCTCATGGCGAGGCCCTGGCCCTGCAGGTTCCTGAGTGCACTGGCTGTGCTGGCAGAGCGCCCTGACCTGGTCGAGCAGGTGATGGTCACGCGCAGCCTGTGTGCAGAGGGCGCCTACCAGGTGCGGCTCTGCAAGGACGGCACGTGGACTACGGTGCTGGTGGACGACATGCTGCCCTGTGATGAGGCCGGCTTTCTCCTCTTCTCACAGGTGGCAGGGTGGCAGGTGTGGGCGGGCATCAGCCGCGCAGCAGCATCTGCGGCCTAGTGACTCCAGCCCCTCCTGCAGGCTCAGCGGAAGCAGCTGTGGGTGGCCCTCATCGAGAAGGCGCTGGCCAAGCTGCACGGCTCCTACTTTGCCCTCCAGGCAGGGCGCGCCATCGAAGGCCTGGCCACGCTCACCGGCGCCCCCTGTGAGAGTCTGGCGCTGCAGGTCAGCTCCACTAACCCCCGCGAGGAACCCGTTGACACTGACCTCATCTGGGCCAAAATGCTGAGTTCTAAGGAGGCTGGGTAAGAGGGGCGGGCGCTGGGGTGGTAGAGGCGTTGGGAGGAGAGGAGAGGTGAGGGGCCAGCCGGGCCAGGGCCTGGAGCCTTGGGAGATGGAGGGCTGGCACCCCCTGACCTGAACCCCTTGTTGACAAGATGTTTGGGCACAGGCTGGCCCCCCCTACAAGGCCTGGCCGGCAGCCCCGGCAGCCTCATATGGGCCTGTGATGACTGTTAGCACTTGCGCAGAGCCTGGCGGAGCAACCCCTCAGAGGCACCTGGTGGGGGCAGGAACCACTTTTCTGGGACCTGGCATGCACTGGACAGCATGTCTGGGGGTACCCAAAACCCTGGGCCTGGGAGAAATGGCTTGCTGGCGCTGGGACACCCAGCACGTCTGCTCCCCCTCGGGCGGCCACGGCCCTGAGCCTGAGGACCAGCCAGCCTCGTCGGCCTCCCAGGGACCCAGGCCTACTGTGCCCTGAGCTCTTGGGTCATGGGGGGGTGGGGGCAGCAAGCACTTCCTGAGGCTCCTGTGTTTCCGTGTGCCCCCAGGATCTGCCCTCCCACAGGGCAGGGAGGGCTCCACTCCCACAGCCCCACTGACCCATGGAGCTCCTGTTGGCTCAAGGGCCCCTGTCCAGCGAGCCCCCTGTGCCCACAGGTTCCTCATGGGCGCTTCGTGTGGTGGAGGCAACATGAAGGTGGATGACGCCACCTATGAGGGCCTGGGCCTGCGTCCCCGCCATGCCTACTCCATTCTCGACGTACGAGATGTCCAGGGCTCCAGGTGGGCCAGCTGCGGGCCGCCGGGGCAGGGTGCTGGGGGTGCTGGGGGTGGCCTGGGCCTCAGCTCTGTGCTCCACAGGCTGCTGCGCCTCCGGAACCCCTGGGGCCGCTTCTCCTGGAATGGCAGCTGGTCGGACGAGTGGCCTCACTGGCCGGGGAATCTGCGTGGCGAGCTCATGCCGCATGGCAGCAGCGAGGGTGTCTTCTGGATGGAGTACGGTGACTTCATCAGGTACCTGGGTGCCCTGAGCGGCGGTGCCCAGCGACCGCCCCGTGCCTCCCCTGCCCCAGCCACCTCTCTGCCCTCACTTGTCCTGCCCTGGTGAGCCCGCCGTGCCCTCCTGCCGGACCCAGGGCGGGCCCTTCTGGAATCCGGGTCAGCACGGGGTCCGCGTGGCTTCCTCAGCCAGGGCGCTGCCCTCCCTGGGTCATGCTGCGGCCCAGCGCCCCCTGGTGGTGTCCAGGGCTTCCCAAACCGGTCCTGAGGTGGGAGGGCAGGGCTAGGGCAGGTGCACTCAGCAGGCGCCCTCTCGCCGCCCAGGTACTTCGACTCGGTGGACATCTGTAAGGCGCACTCGGACTGGCAGGAGGCCAGGGTGCAGGGCTGCTTCCCTCGCTCGGCCAGCGGGCCTGTGGGGGTGACTGCGCTCACCGTGCTGGAGCGCGCGTCCCTGGAGTTCGCCCTGTTCCAGGAGGGCAGCAGGTGGGCGGCACGGGCGAGGGCAGCAGCGGGCCAGGCCCACAGGGGCACACCCTGTGACCCACGTCTGGCCGCAGGCGCTCCGACTCGGTGGACAGCCACCTCCTGGACCTGTGCGTGCTGGTATTCCGTGCGTCCTTTGGCAGCGGCGGCCGCCTGAGCCTGGGCCGTCTCCTGGCGCACAGCAAGCGTGCGGTCAAGAAGTTCGTCAACTGTGACGTCATGCTGGAGCCCGGCGAGTACGCCGTGGTGTGCTGTGCCTTCAACCACTGGAGCCCGGGCGCGCCAGGCGCCCCGGCGCAGGGTGACCGCCCCACCCTGTCCCGTCCCCACCCAGCCCACCAGGGGGACCGCCAGCCCCACTCCATCCCCACCCACGAGGGTGGTCAGACCACTGCCCCACCCACACCCCTGCCCGTGTACCCCACCACTCGGGGGGACCGCTGTGCTCTGACTGCCCCAACCCACTGTCCCCCTCACTCGCACTCTCCCCTCACAGCCTCCAGTCCCACCGCGGGCGCCCCACGCTGTGCCCTGCAGCCGCCAGGTCACGTGCTGGCCGTGTACAGCTCCAGGCTGGTCATGGTGGAGCCCGTGGAGGCCCAGCCGACCACACTGGCGGACGCCATCATCCTGCTCACGGAGAGTCGGGGGGAGCGGCACGAGGTAGGCCAGGATCCGGGTAGGGCAGGGGGGGCAGGCCCTGCCCAGCCCACATGCGCTCTACCTGTGTCCAGGGGCGTGAGGGCATGACCTGCTACTACCTGACGCACGGCTGGGCGGGGCTCATCGTGGTGGTGGAGAACCGGCACCCCAAGGCCTACCTGCACGTGCAGTGCGACTGCTCGGACAGCTTCAACGTGGTGTCCACGCGGGGCAGCCTGCGCACCCAGGACAGTGTGCCGCCCCTGCACAGGTGGGCCCCGCGCTGCCCCTCCCTTACCCCCGGCCCCTGCTGGCCCTCACCAGCCACCTCCCCCAGGCAGGTCCTGGTGATCCTGTCCCAACTGGAGGGCAACGCTGGCTTCTCCATCACCCACCGCCTGGCACACCGCAAGGCGGCCCAGGCCTTCCTCAGCGACTGGACCGCCTCCAGGGGCACCCACAGCCCCCCACTCACTCCCGAGGTCGCTGGCCTACATGGGCCCCGGCCGCTGTGACTGCCCCTCCCTCACCTGCCCGCCCCCTACACGCACTTTACCAGGGAGACTCCAGCAGAGGACGCTTGAACCAGAATCTCAGGACCCCGCCCGGGGAGCCGCTGGGTGCTGGTGCAGCCCCCCTGGGCCTTCCTCCCTGCCCCACCTCCTGCCCAGAGCCTCCACCGCCCGCGGAATACCTCTAGCCTGCGCCTCTGGCGCTCTGACTGGCTGGCCTCGGGTCGGGTTCAGACTGCCAGGCCGAGGTGAGGCCGCCCCTTCCTGGTGAGCCTCCTGCCTCGGGGCGGCAGCCAAAAGCTCCATTCACAAACCAAATCTGGGCTGGCACAAGGCCAGGGCCCCGGGAGGAGAGCAGAGACCACCCCCTTTGTGGGGGTCAGAGACCAGGACCCCAGGTAACAGCAGGGACTACCCCTGTGAGGGGGTCACACCAGGACCCCAAGGTGAGCAGGGACCACCTGTATGAGGGGCACAAAGTCAGGGAGGGTCCTTCTCTCCCCAGCTTGCCCCCCAGAGCCCATCTCCCCACCCCCCAACAAGGCAAGCAGGGCTCCTGGGGTTCCCAGCCATGTGTCTTAGGCGGCATGGGCTTGGGGCCGGGGATGGGGTGGGTCCCAACTGCCTCTCTGGCCACACTATGCAATTCCTGGAGTGCCCACCAGGATCGAAGCCATGCCTGGGGTCTGCAGGCCCAGGTAGCAAGCAGGTCAGGACCTACAGGTTGGGCCCCGGCCCAGCCGTGCTGTTGGTGAGGTGGTTTGTCCTTAGCATCACCTGACCTCTGCCAGGAGGACTAGGGTCCAACAGAAACCTTTGGCCAGCCCTGTCCTGGCGCACACAGGCGCAGCCCCTCTCGGGCCTGCTTCAGAAGCCCAGGAAGCTGGGCAGCCGCTGGCTGTCGTCCCTGCCGCTTGGCTGAGCCGGGGCTGTGTCAGTGTCTGCCTGCAGATGTCTGAGGCCGGCTTCCTGGGGTGCTGCCCAGGCTCACTGCCCTGCAGCCCCCAGGTGGCAGGCGGCCTGCCCACGTGCCCTCCCTTCCTGTGGGGCTTGCAGGGGATTTTACACCTGGGGAAAACCGGGAAGCACTACACTCCCCTTGGGCCTCCTTTATGTCGCCTCCTGTTACTCCGAGCTGTGAATATTTTTAACCCTGTACATGCGGCCAGCTCTTCTGACAGAGACTCTTTTGTCGGTCGTCAGGCCCTGTCCCTAAGGGATGACTCCATGGGTGTTTCCAGACTCAGGCTCCGATGGACCAAATAAAAATGCTGTTTTGTAATGATGCTTCCTGTCTGTCAGGCCCTCCCAGGGGGTCCCCAGCTCCATGCCTCCTCTCCATGGGCAGAAGGGCACCCAGGCCTGCCAGGTGATGGCACCTGGGGGTGGCTTGCCGGTGCTCAAGGTCAGCCCCGCAAGGAGCCTTTGCCCTACTCACCGGCTGCCCACACCCCAGGGAGGACCAGGCAGAGCGGAGGCTCGGGCCAGGCCCTGCAGCGGTCCCACGCCGACAGAAGGGTGATCCGTACGTGTGGCTTTGCGCAGCGATACGTCTGTGTCCAGGCGGCCTGTCTGGATCGGTCAGTCACTGGACGGGGGCAGGCGGGGCAAGAGGCTGAGCAAGGAGACAGGTTTCCATCTGTGGCAGGTGGTGGCCCTGCTCCTCAGTCCTGCTCGGTCCCAGTTGGCCTCAAGTTCCCTCCCACCCATTCCGGGAGCCATTCCTGTTTCAGGGTGGCAGCCGAGGCCAGGCCCCTGGAGCAGCTCGCCTGTGCAGATGGAGGGCTGCTGAGTGGGGGCTGGGGTGCAGAGGCCGGCACTTGGGTGTGAGAGGCCTGTCACAGGTCGGCGTATCGGATGCGGATGCAATTAAAGCCACCAGCAGTGCTCGCTCCGGGCGGCCCTCGGGCGGCAGGGAGCTGCCACTGCAAATCTCACCTCAGCGCCCAGATGCCTGCCTTGTTCCACCACGGCTGCGTGGATGCACCGGACCTCCCGCGGGGTGGGACCAGCCTGCCCCACCCTCACGTGGGCACAGAGCTGCTCCCGCCCATGCAGTGACCCCCACATCCCTCCAGCCCCAGGACGGCCCCGGGGGACAGGACTCAGGAGGGCAGCCGGGGTCTGATGCCCTTGTCATCAGTGGGGCCAGGGACACCCTCCCTGCTCAGACTCCAGTACAGGGTGTCCCCAGTCCCAGGGGGCACAGAGGGATGTGGGAGAAGTTGAGGGGCCCCACGGGAAGGAGCCTTAGACACAACACCCACAGGAGGTGCTGGGCAGGACGGGGAGGAGAGAGCATCTGCACCCAGGCCACGTGGGGGCACTGGATGGGAGCCACCCAGGTTGGGAAGGGCCAGGAGCCACCCCTCCTCGCCGGGTCCCAGCTGCCGCCTCTAGCCGCCACCCCCTGTGTGTCTGTCTCCCTGGCCACTGGGGCTCCTCATCCCCAGCTCCCTGTTCCCCCTCTCCCTGCATCCCAGCCCCCTCTGGCTGTGCCAGGCCCTGGCTGGCCTGTGTCCTGCCACGGCCCATTCCCGGTCTCACCCAGCCGCCTGGCTGCCTGCCTGTTGGCCACAGCGGCCTCCCTGGGCTGGGCAGCGGTGTGCTCTCACTTGTGAGGTGTCCCTGTCACAAGCACTTAGTGTACAAATTAGCCGCAGCCTCGCATCCCCAAGCAACTCTGGGCACTGGGCCCTCCCGCCTGCCTGGGGCGCCCGGCCCGTGTGCACCCCTGGCTGCCTTCCCACCACCAGGTGGGAGCATCCCCACCAGCCATCCAGATCCTTCTGGGGGCCCCAACCTTGACCACAGGGGTGGCCGCAGCAGGGGTGGGAGGTTGTCCAGAGAGAGCCTGGGGGTCAGGTTCAGGGCCCAGCACCTGGATCCTGGATCTACCTGGAGGGCAGGTCCAGGGCTGAGAGCCGGGGACCAAGACCTGCAGCCTACACAGTGGCTCCACAGCCCCCATCCGCCCCGCCCGTGGGCCGGCCTGCCACTCAGGCAGGGAAAATCATCTGTGACAGGCTCAGGAAGGCCTGGCCTGCGGGCCGCGGAGCTGCACACAGCTCCTCTCCCAACATATGGTTGCTGCCGGCCCCAGGCGCTGCTCGGCCAGTGCTGGCTGGAAGGCGGGTGGGGGCTCCGGTGGCCCGACCCTCTCATCCCACCCTCGTGGCCACGCAACTTCCTCAGTGCTAGGAAAGTCCCCCACCCTGCTCACGTTCCTCCCACGATGGTGCCACCCTTTGGACCCCTCCATTCCAGCAGCCTGAGACACACAGAAGGTCACCCGGGTGGCCACTGACAGGGCAGGTTCTGGTGGAGCGCGTGGGGGGAGCCAGCAGGGGCCCCTGCGGAAGCAGCCTGCAGCCAGTCGGAGGGGGGGACAGCAGTCATCTGACACCCCATGGGGCTGGAGCCAGAGGCCCTCCCACCGGGTAGGCCCTGCATGTGCCCCCATGAAGCCCCCCAAAACCTGCCCACAGCCCTGTCCACGCAGCCACCCAGCCCCACTGCTGGCCTCCTGCTGTGTCCCCTCAGGCGTCTCACCAGTGTTCTCGGGCTGGTGCCCAGGGCCTACTGGCATGGGCCTGCCCTCTTCAGCCAAGCACCGCTTTCAGCCTGGGGTCTCTGAGGCCACCTCAGTTCTAGAGGCAGAGGACAACCAAGGGCCTGGGGGCTCACAGACACTCGGGCTGCCGCGGGTCCCAGAGCTCACCATGAGTGGATGAGCATGAGCCGTGGCCATCCTGCCACATGGCAGTGACCCATCCCTTGGGCTCACAGGCCCTGCCCAAGGGCTCCAGTCTGCCCACTGGGTGGCCTGGCCTCTTCACCCATCCTGGAGAGGACACTAAAGAGACGAGACAAGCCTGCGCTGGGCACTGAGTCACGGGCCCTGCCTTCCCTGGGCCCACCGCCGACTTGCCCACGCGCACCCCTGGCATGCACACACAGCATTCATGGAGGTGACGGGGTGGCCAAGGGCGTGCCAGGCAGAGGAAGTTAATGGCTGGCTGGAGGTAGAGGGTGGAGCCATAGGCATCCACCCCACCTTGCAGCAGGACCAGCTGAGGACAGGAGGCGGCTCCCCAGGGCCCACCCATGCCAGAAGCACCCAGAAACCGAGTCTCCCCACCCACCCTGAAGATGAGGGACTGAGGCAGGGGCGCAGGCTTCGGGGCCATGTGGGTTCCCTGCCACACCTCCCCAGGCCCACGCTCACACAAACATGCAGGCGGCGGGTCCCAGCGGGTGGGTCATAACCCACCCCGACTCCTGTGTAAGAAGTAGGACAGGCCCCGGGCACAACGTTTGCCAGCTGTGAGGGAACAGATGTACCTGGGAGGCCTTGGGAAAAGGGCACGGGGCCCAGGCTGACCACAATGTCCCAGCTTCACCTACTGGAGGCATGTGGGTGGTCATGCATGCACCTGACCGGCTGGCCCAACATGGCTGTGCTCGGTCATTGAGTGGCAGTTGTGGGTGAGCTCCCCCTTGAGCAAGCACCTTCCAGCACAGACCCTCCTGGGAGCCCAGAAAGGCATACAGGTCAGGCCCATCGGTTGCCGAGTCCCTCTGGACATGCTCCACTCTTCCATCCCACGACTTCTGGAAAGGCCATCCATGGTGTGGTATCCACAGCTGGTGCTGAGCCCCACTCAGGCTCCTGCTTCCCCTAGCACACCAAGTCCTGGCCTCCTCCCCACTCCCCGGGGCTCCTGGTCACCTGAGCTGCCCTCCTGCATGCTGAGAGGCAGGGTTCCCCAGGATGAGGGCATACGGATCCATCACCCTCCTTCCCCCAGATGATGGCCGCAGCCTCCAGCCAGCCCACCCTCAGTGCTGGCAGCCGTGGCCTCTCCCAGCCCCTCGTGGGGCCGGCCAGGGAGGGACATGGAAACCCAAGACTGTCCCTGGGACCCCGTGGCCAAGGCCTGGGACCCTGCTCCTCCTGTCTCAAGGTGACCTGAGCCGCCTACGCCTCTGCCCGTGCCGAGGGGCCCAGGTCTGGCTGAGCAAGCCCACAGCGGGGTCTGTGTACAGAAGGAGCAGGCCTCCCGGCCCCCACTCTCCACAGAGCTGCTGGCACGGTGGCCGCTCAAGCTGTCTCCTGGCCTAAGGCTGCCTGCACGCTCAGCTGGTCAGCTGGGCCAGGCCAGGTGGGCAGAGAGGGGAAGGGTGGCATGTCGTGCCACCCACAGCGGTCCTCCGGCCCCCATCCCTGCCCTGCAGACCCTATGAGGAGAAGTGGGGCCGGAGGAACACAGCACGGTGCACTCACCCAGACCCGCAGCCCCATTCCTCCCGGATGCCTGTCGAGGTCCAGAGCCCCGGGACACCAGAGCCTGTAAGGGACCACGCAGACGGGGACAGGCCAGGCTCACGGGGACCAGGAGGGCCTGGACTCTGGATCCAGGGTCTTCCTCCAGCTGCTACATTTGAAGTGGGACACCCAGAGGCCCCTAGAGGACACTCCTTCCTCCCCTGAGGTGCCCCTGTTCCCCAAAAGTAGCCGGGCATCCTCCAGGAAGCCCGTACCTGACCCTGCAGAGTGGGCCTCTGCAGACGCTGTCCGGCACCACCACACGTCACTGGGCTAGACTACCTTCTTGGACAAAGCACGCTCCCCGGGAGAGCCCAGTCTGGCCCCATCCAGGCGTGTCTGTGTCCGTGTCCAGAACAGAACGGACTGGTCACATGAACTGCCGCTGAGCTCCAGCTGAGAAGTGAGACCATTAAGGTTTGACAGCTTAGGGAGCAATGTGGAATTTGGTTTACCCTGGGAGGTGGGCTGGGGGCAGCTCTGGCCATGAGGACATTCGGGGGTGGGGAGCGTCCAAGCCTATCCCCAGTCCTGCCTTTCACCCGCCCCAGGACCTCCTGAGAGGGACCCCAGCAGCAGGCGGGACGGTGCCTTGCTGTGGAGCCCCCCCGGGGCCCCTGCCAGGGAGTGAGCGCACTGTGATGATCCCGCTGCGCTAGTGGCCACCCGTGGGCAGGGGGGCTTGGGGGGGCACCGATCTATCCAGCCTCCTGTTTGCAAAAGAGGAAACAGCCCAGGCGGTAGGGCTTGTCCAAGGAGGGCTGGTGGGAGAGGACGCTTGAGCCGCGCTCTGTGTGCTGGGCTCCAGGCTTTGACCCTCCCAGGGGCCAGGCTCGGTCCCCTCGCAGGCTGGGCCCCGACTCCGCAGGGTGGCTGTGTCCCCCACAGGCCCCCCTGTCCCGGGGCTCAGTCCCCAGGCCCTGACAGATGAGTGCTGACGGCCCCTCTCCATG